TCTGTTACTCATACAGGATTAGTTATTATTGGTTTATATAAATTTGAATAATTGTGGTTAATATGGTTCTTTGATTTTAATGTTTGGGTTGTGTTGTTTGGATAATATTTGATATAAATATTTCATAAGTATTAGCATTTTTTCAAATAAAGAGTAAATTAATATTTTTCCTTAAATTTATATCTTTTGAATGATTTATTCGGATTTATATTATATTCTTCAAATATATCTTGATATATGATTTTGAATCATGCCATTTTTATAAAAATTTTATTAAATTATTAAAAATATTTAATTTTAGTATAAGGAGAAATGTATAAATATATAAGTACCTACATGCCTACTAATCATACTTACAGGTAACTAATGCACTTAAAAATACAAATAATAAATTTAAGCATTGCAAAACTTACCAATAACATTTCCTTCATAATTTTCAAGAATCCAAAAATTAAATATTCTCTAATTTTTACCTAATATCTAGTGTCAAGAACGGACTGGGCCTCCGTGATGCAAGGAAATTTCACGGTGGGCCAGTGCCTAATTTGGCCATGTAGCCTGTAGATGTCACAGTGGCGGCTCTTGGGGTTTACAGGAGGTTTGACATAAATGAATCGGAATTATTCGACACATGGGGAAATCCTGTACTGTAGAAAAATGTCTTTCTCTTTGGAATTTAATTCATCGACGCGATTTACGGCAGGGTCATTGTTAAATTTATTAAATTCAAAACAGTTCTTAGTGCGAAAATATATTTTATATTTCAAATTGACACAGCTATTTGTTTCAAAAAACGCTTCAACATTTCTTCAAAACTTATTCCCCATTTAGCATCACTTCTAAATTTTAAAAAGTTCAACAATTAATAGGAGAATAATTTTTTTGTGTACACACAATATACTTATGTAGCCACTCGAGATCTAAATCCCGGTGACATTTTTAGTCCAAGTCCACTTCGGTTTAGTGTTATACTATATTATAATAAAAATTTTAAGGATAATTTTGTATTATTTAAACATTATTTTATTACAACAAATTTAATAGAAAGTAACTTTTGAGTATCTATACTTTACTAATAAAAATCAATTGCTTTATGAACATACATAATATTATAGGTATAATTGTATAAATATATATGTATTTACATTATAATGTCATTATTAATTTAATAAATATTCTATTTTACTTAAAAAGGTAAAAAATTAAAAATGAAACAAAATAATATTCATTTATAACAGCCAGGATTCATTTTTTATAGCTACCTATTTATTAATATTAAGATAGATTGTATTTTAGTAATACAGTGGGGATTTGGGAATGAGTCACTAGATATTCATAATAATTATCCACCAACCTCATTATGATTACAGTTTAGACTTACTACTGACTAAGCCAAATCTGAAACAAAATAAATATGTTATATTTAAATAACAGTTACCTATATTATGCTAATCTATAAATATTAAAATGTAATTATTCTTTTCAAGTAAATATATTTACAATAACTAACAACAAAATTATTTATTTTATTTAATAAAAAATTTAAATTATTAAACTTCATATTTAATATAAGTAACACTTATAGTTTAAATAAAATAGATAAGGACTCTAATTTTTAAGGTATTTTGATTAACTATTATTAATTATTTAAAACAAAAATTTAAATTATCAAAGAAATAATAAAAACACTTTACAGGTTAGGTAATTTTGGAAAAAATCTTTTGTATTTAAAAAAAACAAAAGTAATCCTATAATAAATAATTACTCAGTTCAATCAATTTCAATAACTTCTAAATTTAAAGAACCTAAAACCTAAAATAAAGACAATTATTTTATTTAAAAAAATACCATAATAAATGATATACCTATTTCATATTAAATCAAAAAAATATATATATAAAATATTTTTTTATATAATATATATATATATTAGTTGAATGAACAATGTATCTCAATGTAAAAAAACTCAAAAATAAAAAAAATATTTAATATTTTAATAATTAATTTAAATAAATATCCAGTAGTTAGATATATGTTACAATATACCTTTTTTATATTACAATGGTAGGCAATGAATTATTATAATGCATAAGTTTTCTATGTTTAGTTGGAATAAACAGAACATGATTCATTTTTATTTAAATTGTTAAGGTCTTTCTGTCAAATTAAGATAACCAAAATTTTTAATAATTTAAGTTAGTAGGTAAGTAGGTAATCATAGGTAATGTTGATATTATCTTTTTTTCCATATAATGTATTTTTTCATCAATTTTGGTGTTTTGAATTAATAAATAATTTCAGTAAATAAATTTAATTTTACCAATTTGAATTCAAAATTTGTTGGTAAAACTTAAAATACCTAATAAAAATTACAATCAAATGTTCTAAAATTTTAATTTTGATGACTTATTTAAGGTAAGTATCTTTACTTATTTAGGTTTAATAATTTATTTTTTATAGACAATTTATTACTATGGTATTGTAATTAAAGGATTATTTACAATCCTATAACATTCCATTATAAGTTATTAATTTTCAGGAATAAGAGGGCTATGATCAGCGCTATATATAACACAACCATGGCTATAATTAATTTTAAAAAATCAAAATTTCTTTATATTATTATTAGGATGTTTATTATTTATATTCAATATTTAAACATTACCTAATGTGTTTTGTTTGTTTTTAATTAAAACTATTTAGATTTATTATTTGGTATAGTGGTAAGGTATTTATTATAATATGGTTATCAGCGTAAATTTGGTATAATTATTTGTGTGAGCTATGTAGGACTAGAAAATTCCAAAATATCCTTATGTTTAACTCAAATTAAAGGAAACAAGAATGTTTCTGGAAAAAAACAATTTATATTTGACTTCTTCTTAACCTGACATTTTATTTTATAATTCATAAAAGTTAAAACAGTTAAAATTAAATTATTAAATAAAACTTGAACGTCTGTGTTTTTCTGCAAAAATATTGAGTAAATTTTTTGATTCTATTGCATGTGATAAATCTCTTTCAATATAAAGTATTGAGAAGTTTGTGAACCTTTCATTTGTTATGGTATTTCTAGTACAATTCTTTATTCACCTCATTACAGAAAATGAGTGTTTACATGAGGCAGATGATATAGTCAGATGGTATAGTTAGTGTAATTTATAAAAGTTTATACAAATTTTGAAAAATATTGTTGTCTGTAATGGGTATGATGTCTGTTTCAAAGTTTTCTTTATTTAGCATATTTTTTAGGACCATTATTTCAGCCTTCAAAATTACTGGATCTATGTTTAATATTTTCTAGAAAATTCAAATTAATTAAAAAAAAAATAACTAAATTTGTATTAATCTTATGTTAATCTTAATATAGTTTTAAACTTCATGGATACCTTATACTTATTAACAAACTCAATATTTTCTTTATATTTTAATTGTATAAAACTTTTGACTCCTACACTGATTTTTAGACTTTCTTCTGAAAACCTATTTTTCATGTAATTTATTACACGGTCATTATTTCAAAATAAGCATTTATTTTCCAATGTTCAAAATTTGCTTCTTCGTTAGACATATTATCATATTTAATGATAGAAGAACATTCATCCCCTTCCCCAGTTTTAGAACTGACACAATAGTTGCTCAAATGTATTAGCTTTTTCATTTTAAACTTTGAACCTATAAGAATGAATACTTGAATTTAAATTGATAAATAATAAATTAATTCAAAAAATTTTTGAAAATACACTTATAGAGGTGTCCAATGAAATGTCTAAACTGTTGGCAATTCTTTTATATCTTTCCAAATTATTTTAAATTTATCAGAATAATACACTACCTGACCACCACACATGGTAAATCTAAGGTGATCGCATGGTGATATATATAAATAAACATGTTTATGATAAAAATAAATAGGTATATGGATAAGTGCAATAATTGTCAATAAAAATGACATTGCTAATATTTGAAGTCTTGATGTATTCCCGGGAAAATTACAAAAACATTTAAAACTATAATTTTGGAAAAAATGTTTTAAATAAAAGTAAACACCGTGAGGACTGAGGTGGCTACTAAAGTTTCTGAAGGGGCTGTAGTCCCCATAGCCCCATGCATACTATGCCATGAATATAGTGTTTGTTTATAGTGCTATTAGATTACATTATTAAAAAATGTATTTTGTAAAATGTTAATAAGTAAAATTAATTTAATTTTAAAATTAAATAAAACATGCAATTTTCAACTCTTTTTGAGACATTTTTAGTCGCAAGTTGCTCTAATATTTTTTTTGGGGGGGCCTTAACTTCTCAAGCCCTACATAATAATGATTTTACTTATATATTTAGTATTTACTTGTGTTTTGGAGCATTAATCCCCTTATTTGTGCCAATGTGCAGTATTTACAATTTCTTATAAGGTTGCTATAGAGTGTGGCTACAGCAGTAGGACTTACATTAATGAGTATGTTTTATATACACAGAAACTACTTACCAAAATTTAAATTCAAGCGCGATTTATATGTACTAAAATCATTGATAATAAAACAGGCAAAAATGTTTGCACTAAAATAGGTAATATATTTGTTTAAGTTAGTAGGCTTAGGTATGTATTCCAGACTGAAAAAATATCAAAGTTAAGATAGTGCTGTTAATATGAAAATAGTAAAACAAGATGTATAAGCTGTGTGCATATACTGTGTTAGAAAAATCCAGTAAAATTGTCTGCATTGGATCTCGGTGTTTTCTAAGCCATCATTTATTCTAGATTAACAATTTCTTTCAAAGTTGCACATGGAATTTTATTGTAGTTTTAGTATATTGTTCAAAATAGTTTAGAAACCGGAAACTTTGCACGCTCGGAGAGTAGTCTTCCCTAATTTGTTTCAATCCTTTTTTTTTTTTTTGAGTAGGTATCATACTGTAGACAGAACATAGGTACCAAATTATTATGTATATATATATATTATATAGGTACCATTAATGTATTAATTTTTTAATCACACTGTCACGAGGATTATTTTAATACATTTTAACGAAATACTAGTTACGATGGAAATAAAATAATAATAATTAAATAATATGATCTAAGTGTATATTGTACTCGTATATATTATTATTATATTTAAATTAAAATAAAATAAAATTAAAAAAAAAAAAAAAAAAACAGTCTACTCTTTCGTAATAAAATATACATATTGACGTAAAATAATTTAAAAATAAAACTCGCTTTTACAATAAAAATATATATGTATATAGATTATACGTATATAATAATATATTAATATTAAATCTACAGAATGGAGATTTGATAAAAAAAAAAAAAAAGTTGCGTTTGATGTGAACATGGCGGCCGTCCGTCGTCGCATAATTGCGTAATGTTATATTATTAGTCACGCCTCAAAAGTTCTCGTTAGCGGTGGCTTGCGGGGGCTGTGGCGTCGTCGCGGTCTTTCGAACCACCGGCTTCCTTGCTCTGTTCCTGGTCATCCCGTTCAGGTTGATGGTGTTTCCGTTGGCCATGACGTACTGGTTCTTGGTGTAGTCGATGTAACCGTAAGTGTCGCTAGCCTGTGCCTCTTGGACTGCCGAGGACCCCGCTCCGACCAACGGTTGTATAATCGTTTTCCTGTTCTTATCGCACGGTATACCCGACGTGTACGAATACTCGCGCTTCACGCCCTCTGGGTCCACGTAACCGTACTTTCCGCGGGTCACGCAGTCCACCCCGATGGTCTCCTCCTTGAACGTGCCGTCGTCGTTTTCAAAACCCCAAGTGATGCTACCGTCCGGGTTGTCGTCCCTGTACCGTCTCAACACCTGCAGCGTATCAACGAAACGATTAAAATATCGTGTACATTTTAGATTCTGAGTGGAACGAATAAGCTCATGGTTTTACAAAGATGTTTATTTTTTTTTTTGCGGACAACTTTTCTATCAGAGATCTTGCTCCGATTTTTAAATGTAGTACATTTTCTGAAAGGGAATCGGCGTGAGGAGGTACTTTAGGGATGACAAACGAAGGAGTATATAGTATAAAACTACAAAATATAGAATAATAAGAATAATGTGTGTAATTAAGGAAAATCGAAAACTTTGGCACAGTATATAAGTCAGAAGCATTAGCGAAACTAGATAGTTTTATTAGGACAGGCCAAATGATAAATATGAAAAAAATACTAGTTACAACTCTTTGCTCGATGGGTTAGGTTATCGTAATACTCACTTGCAACGGCAAAAAACTAAGTAGGTATTACATGATATAATATAAAAATGAACGTCAAATTATTTGTATATGATTTTATTTTATTTCATATGACTTTTGTATATGATTGAATTTCAAGAAATTATATTAAGCCTGCATTTACAGTAGGTAGGTATGAATGGTATTACCCATGCATTACGTATGTAGGTATTATATTTATTTAAACAAAACATTGTAGACATTTTAGATGCGGAAATGAAGTTTTTAATTTTAAATACAGGTATGTTATCCAGTCAGTATTAGGTCACGCCATGGCTTGACTGGCCTGACCCCTATAGTTTCGTCTATGGTCAGAAGGGACAAAATGATTGGGTATCTACTGCGTCACGATAGCTTGACGAATGCGTCATAGAAGGTAGACTGTGATGTAGAAGGTCATATCGGAAGAGAGAAAACCCAAGGATGGCGTTTATGAAACATATTTAATCATGGTAGATATGAATAAGGATAGTTCCAAGAATTTAACTGAATTGAGTTATGAAAGGGAAGTATGGTTAACTGTAGTAAGCCAATTAAACGATTGAAAACGGGAAGATACGAATACCGTTTTAGTTTAGCATGGACAATAATATTATACAGGTCGTAATTTGAGGGGGAGAGCTTATTAGGGTCTGCGATGGCATCACTTTTATCTGCTTAAAAATTGTAATAATACAGTATATTATATTGACCTACCGTTTTTGTTCCATAATGCGTCACTAACATTAATCGATATAGAGTAATATTATATAAATTATATATTATGATATTATGAAAGGGAAGAAAAGGAGAAAACTTTTATATACAATGTGGAAAAAAGTCATAACCTTAAATAATATTCTCTTACTCAGTTCATGAAATCAATATATTTGTTTTTTTTTTTTTGCATAATGATCGATGTTATGATTTTCGAATGATATAAAAAAAAATAACCTTTTTCGAAAAACCTCGGTCTTTAGGTTATAAAAGATTGAAATACTAAAAATAAGGTTGTTTTTGGCAACCGTTTTTATTTATTTATTGTTATTAAGTTTTTATTATTTTAATCTTATTTAAACAATCATTGTTATCATGGAAACGTACATTGTAATCGTTTTACCATAATATGATATATACCATATATTGTATTATTAACAAAGCAAAACTATCAACTGAACTTCGCTCAGAATCGTTTATCGTTGCTTACAGATATACATTAAATTCCCACCTGTATCCTATCTTCCCAATTTCCCACCTACAACAGTGGCTGCACCCACGTGTGAAGTATCGAAGTACTCACGTCCGTTCTTAGTTTTTTTAATTTTATTCCGTAAGACAAAAATAATTCGATAATTTGTTGACGTTCAGTTTTGCAGTTTTATCACATGTTTCCATAACAATAGCAAATTGATGATAAATAATAGTAAAGGTCTGTATCAAACAAATTTTTTAGAAAATGTACCAGAAAAATTATGAACTTGGATGGTATTTTCAAGTTAAGGTGTCACCAACAAAATATCGTTTATTTTATATATATAAATTAAAAATTTAGACATAAATTTTATATTAATATAAATTGTCAGAAAATACGCACATAAAGGTATAAAAGAACAGCTGTGCTGTTTGCGATTGATAACTATAATAATACAGTACATCACGCGTTTCCCACTCTTCGATAGGTTAGATTAGACTTCACTTCCTTTGAAATCAACCCTACCCCCCACCAAAAGAAAAAAAAATTGGGTGTTAAGATATTTTTGGTATGAAAATTACGAAAAAATGTCGCAACGGAAAACTTTTATTCTGCTGAAGTAAAACATTGGTGCTGTCAAATAATATGACATCTCAATTTTACATTTTATTTTCATGTACATTAAATAAATTATTATAATTGTAAATTCTATAAAAATGAACCGGAACGAGTTGCGGTAAAAACGAACCTAATATAGGATATTATGCAGTAAAAACCTACCTAATATTAATTCGAAATAGTGAATTATTATAAATTATTAACCATTGTTAAAATACCTATAGATACCTATAAAGGCACTTAAATATGTGATATATTATAAATGTTAACAATTTATTATTATAATAAATAATAACTATATACTTGGATAAATAATGCATTCAATTTTGATAATTGCATTTTTACCGTCCTTTTTTATTATTTGACATTATTTGATTACATTGTTGATATTGACTACAACAAAATGTATCTATTATAATAATTTAATAACAATATTGTAACAATAGTTATTAATTTATTATTGTGGTCGCTAGTATCCGTAATTTTCGCCGTCAAAACGTACATTTTGCCTGTATTATTAATTTACATAATTTTATTTTTTACGTTTTTAAAATTTTATTATAATAACAACAGGCAGGTGCTACGCTATAAAAAAACTACCTAGTTAGAAAAATATCATTATATGTGATCGTAATGTTGTATTTTTTTATCACTTGACTAGTTTTCTATTATTGTATAAATATACTTATTTATATATTAATATAAATGTAGGTGCGTGTTTATTGTGTACTCTATGTCTACTTTATGAGTACTTATATACCTTTATAATAATAATAATAATAAAATAATATTATAATGCACTAAACACTTTATAACAATTCGTTTTGGCTAGTTGCTACAGGTAATTCTCATCTCTATTATGATGTTTATTGTGCAACCAAATAAATTTACCGGAGAGGGGGAGAATTATTTATGAATTTTCCCTGTCAGTTATTTTAGGTTAGGTTAGATAACTAAATCGTGATTAGGTCGCAGTAAAAAACCCAAAACTACCGAGCGCTATCGAAACGTGAAGTATAGTTTTTAGGACATGGTCCAAGGGACGTGGGTCTTCAATAGATTTTCCTAGTCGTTTAAATTGTTCAAGTCGTTCATATCACAACAATTCACAGTATAATTTATATACAATTATATTTTTAGAGCACGGTACTTAATTATAATCTGTGGTTAAACCAGCTAGTTTGTTTTACTTGCCCTCGTGTACATTTTTTTTCGCATACAATCCAATATAGCATGAATTATATACTATAATATTATTATAGATTACCTAACTTACCTACTATTTAATATAATTGTAAACTATGAAATCCTAAATTCTTAAATGTTTTTATTTTTCAATAATTCTTTTTTTATTTTTAATAACCAAGTTTATTAAACCTATCGAAAATATTATATTAAAATTGTATTTGATTAAATTTATAAAAAATATATTATTTCCAATGCTATTACAATGGGTATATCTTTTTGGGACACCCTGTACAAATACCAATTTAAAATTGTTGACCATTGTACATTACCATTTGGAGATAATGATAATATATTCTCCTTTACTCATTTTTCAAGAATATGATTAATGTTTATTGGTTCGTAATACATATTACACCAATTTAATAATAATAAACCTATTTTGTTGCGATCAACAATTTGATATCTGATATATAACAAATACATGTGTGGTGGCAACCTGATGTGCTAGTATATGAATGGGGTAAACCGTAAAGCATACATACAAATTAAAGTTATAAAATGATTTTATTAAAACAATTTTGGATTTAAGGGTCTCCTCTAATAATATGATTTTTTAATAATATTTTAAATTAATCACAATAAATAATTTCATTGAAATATGTTTTCCAATATAGTAATTGAATAATTTGAGTGACACAGATTTACATAGTTTATCTGATATTTCTATTCTGTAATTGTTTTTTTCATCATGCCTTTGCAAGGTCTTCTATAAGTCATATTACAGTCAAATTTTCCATGAAATACTTAACGAGATAACCCTTAAATTTTAATCTATACTTTATAGATTTTAATCTTAAAAGGTTTAAAATTAGGTAGGGAAAGAATAGTGGGTGGAACACTATTCAATCGCCACGCCGCCACACACATGATGCTCCACTAGCTCTCCCACTAGAAAACGAGTTGACAGCAATTAATATATTAACACCAAAATGTATTTAAATTAAAACTTAATCTATTTATACAATGTTTAGTATAGGTTACTTTTGGAAAATCAAAAGTGGGTATAGTGGTTTCACTCCCAAAAATAAGGATAAAAAAATAAAAACCAACATTTTGGGCTTTATAAATCCAAACATTTTTACATAAGTAAATTTTGAAAAAAAAAAAAAATAAAAATATTTGATGGACAATTTGATATTGTTAAATACAATTTTGAAAACCACATGTATTAAATGCTGCTATTTCTCTCTAGTTTTCCACTCTCAAACGTTTTAAATCTTTTTTCACCCTGCCAATCCGGCTTTTCTTGGGTCTTCTTGGTTCATATGTTGATGAGAGCAAGAGAAAACAATACAGTTTGGGTGGAGATCAAAAGAAAATGTATATTGTAATTTTTGAGTATTTTTGTTTAAACTTTATTTTTTTTCATTTTTAATACAATTTATAGGCATATTATTTTGAATTTTAATTACATAAAAGTCTTTTTCTTTTAAGGGCATTTTTTGTGTTACTATGTGGGCCATTGGGTTTATTACATTCCCAGTCCTAGTGATTATTAAATGATTTTTAAGAAATACAGGGGTATAGGTACACACGTATAACTTTTATATTCTGAAGTGTGGCACCGGTCTTAAAATATGTTCAACTATAGTCTATACTTATAATATACTGTCTGACGTCTATGTTATAAAATCATAGTAATTATATTCTCGTATAACAATGAAAACACGACTAAAGCGCATAGTTCTTGAACACGTAATATTGTTATTTAATTTTTAATTTTAATTATCTATTTCTTATTATTGTGTTATGACGTTACAGTTAACGGACACGGACTACGATGTGCTCGTAGTATTTCGCCTCTCTCCTCGACGTGAATTTTTCTGTCGACGAAATCGCAAGTAACTTTATTATTCTTGTCTCTTGTACACGTGATGACTGGTGGCAGCCATCCGGCCATGCATTGTACATATTATATAGACCTAAGTCCTTTTTGATTTTCACAACATATATTATAATACACTGCCAGACTACATTAACTGAATTAACCGGTTTTTCCCGGACTCAATCTTTCAACAGCAATCAGCGAAAAGTAATTCAATTTACCGTGTCAGCTCAGTTCCCTTATCTTTAATGTAGTTAATCATTGTTGCCTGGTAATTTATATCTTTTAAAAATGGCACTTCCTTGACATCTTGTTTGTGACATTCAAATTAAATTATAATAACTGTTGGTTTTTTTTTTTAATTTCATCCCTATCAACAAGGTGACCCAAAAATCAACTAAAAATTTTTTTAATATTAATATATAAAAAAAAATCAAACGTGATGTATGTATGTATACAAGCACACAATTCCACCATTATATATATAGTATATAATAATGGTAATTAAAAAAATGATCTAACCTTTAAAAAAAAAAATGGCTATTTTTATTCAATATTTCTTGTTCGGCCACTTTGCTTCGTACTACGTTGTTTTAAAAAGTTGTCAGTCATCGATTTGACGTCAACATATAGAGGCATTAACGTGCGCATGCAAATGAAAATTCGAAATTTTACTTTCTCATTTTTTTCCCAAAGACACGAATATTTTTAATTTAATTTTGTGGATAAATATATGTAACATTTTACGATGAATACAGATTATTTTTAGAGTAGGTAACAAGAACAAAAAAAAATATACGCAGTTTATTTTATAGATATCACGTAATTGTTTTCTTTTTTTTTTTAGTGATGTTAACATTATGTTTCCACACAGTTTTTTAATTGTTTTGGCGGTAACCTTTCTGTTAAAAAATTAGATGATCACTGATGGTTCTGCTGTATGATTTTGTTTTTATTACAAGTATTTTCAAATTCTGATAGAAAACTACAAAAGCATTTTTGTTCTAGAAAATCAACTGTTTAATAATTGCATACTTCGCACTAGTTTATACCGACAATAAATCATTGAAAATTAAATAAAATACGATTCTGGCTTTTGACTGGGGCACGGTAAACTGGTACAAGGTATTAGTTGGGTGTTTTCCACTGTTGTACAACCAACAAAAATAAAACCTATATTTCGTAATTTGTTGCTTTTTTCTTTTTTTTTTTAATTTTCAAGTGTCGAGAATTTGGATAAATCGTTCAAATGAATTCATCGGACAAAATTCCGCATTTTTTAGGTCACTACATAAAACAATTTGAGCATTTTTACTTGCCGGAATAGTATTTTCCTACAAAATATACCGACACGTCTAAATCTATAATAATATTTAGCTTCTTCATTATTATACTCAGAATCTAATATTTGCGTATTTAAATAGTTTTTTTCAAACCTAGGTGTTAATTGTATATCTTACATCGATCATATATTACCTATTAGTTACATATGTATTATTTATTTATAACTTTATACGAAACCTGCGGTGACGGTAGGTATACGTACAATTATTCTAAGACGTGCGTTTGGCATGCTATGGCATGCGTTACTATTCAAATAATAATAATAATAATAACTGAAATATGAAGTTATATATTATATTAAAATAATATGCTATAGAAATAGAATATTGTATATTGATGGATGTTTTTGATTATATGCTTTCGCGAATGTTTTTTGGTTTCACCTTTATAACGAGGTGTCATATTATTATTACTGAACCTAACGCAATATTGTTGGTTATATATTTTTTTATTATTCAAAATCGTCATTATATTATTATAGTACCACCGGGGCCGATTAGATTAAACTGGTATTCACATTAATATACACGATAATATTATATAGTGACCGAAAATTCAATTTTTTATTATGCTCGTATATACTTGTAAAAAGGTAAAAAATATTGTACAATTTAAGTACCTATATTACATTAAGTGCTAATTGAAAAAGTAATTTATCCCGTGATTTACTAGCGTTGAAAGATAATAATAATTTTTTTTCACTTATCATTTTTAGGTACGTAAGTATAGGTGTATTATTAAATAATACATTTTTTATCTTCATATTGTACAGCTGATACATTGTTTTGTTTTTGATTAATGGTTATAATATAAACTCGTAGATAACGAGCGCTTCGGTTTCGTTGAACTTCAAAAGTCTATAAGCCTATACATACTATACATGTATAGATGACATGTGGTCTTTTATTTAGCTCTATAAAAAAAATAAGAAAATGCGTACCTATACAACACGAAATAGGTAAATAACAAACCGGTTTCGGATTTCTATGAGGATAATCTGGTGCAGTAATCGACTTCGTGTATATTATATACACGAATGGCAATATAATGACGAGCGATCATAATCATTTTTGTCTTCTCTCGATGGAGATTGTTGACAATACTATACGTATATAATCCGTTTACCGATCACCTCGATGACAATTTTTTTATTTGTTTGTGTATACCAATGTAAAACGCGTGTTTTTTCGCCGCACATGTATATACGATGAGGGCGTGATATTCGAAAAAAAAAAAATATCGTGGTCACGAATTCGCGTCGCGGATTACATTTTATTGGATTTTATCGCGGAATAAGCGAAGAAGATAATTGAATCCGACGTCTATAATACGCTATTATGCTATTCGGATTCTGAATGATTTAAGATTAATGTGGCCACTTATTAGACGAAGTGAGTATAATGGACAATTGGTCGAGAATATAAAATGTCCAAGGTAGGCGATATAATGTCTCGACGACATAATATATAGTATGACTGTATGTACACTTTGAAAGAAATATAAAAATAAATTCACTCCATTTTTACAAGTTTTATATCGAAATTAAAATTCAAAAAAAAAAAAAAAATTAAAACTGTACCTGAGATACGGGTTTCTTGGCCCTTTGTTTATCGGATGCCTCTGAGCGTTCAACTTTCATTCTCTGGATCATTTCCGGTGTTCTTACTGGAGCAACCGTTTCTTCCGTCACCTTCACGCGTTTCAGTGGCTTTTGAACTACTTTCCTCACGAACTGTGGTTGTGTTTCTGCAACGGGTTGTATCTGTGGCTAAAAAGAAACAAATTGCAACTTTCAGTGGCAAAAATACGTGTGCGTAACGAGAGATATCCGTTGAAATAATACCTGGGGCCTGAAATTGGGAAATTGTTTTTCGTGTTGGTTTTTATCCAACAACTGTTGTTGTTGTTGAATCCTATCGATCTGTTGATGTTGCTGTTGTTGTTGAAATCTTTCGGCTTGCAGTTGGTTTCGATCGACTTGTTGCTGCTGCTGCAACTGCGGCGCTTGTCTGGTGGGCTGCGGAAAGTCAGCCGCGTTTTCTTCGGCATTATTATTTCCAACTCGGCTAAACTCGGGGTTTTCGTTGGGGAGCGTGGTCGGTCTTGGCTGCAGGAACGCCTGCTGTTGGATCTGCGGGGTCTGTTTCGGTTCCTGTCCATCCAGGCTGAATCCACGGCCTCTGTACAGGGGCACGGAGACTCGGCGGAATGGCTGTGGTACCTGCTGATTCGATTCCAGTTCCAACTGTGCATTGAAGCGGCCCGCTGAGCCGGATCTGGTGAATGCCGGTGGAACAGGACGTTGCTGTGCCAACGCCACGGCCATCAAAGACGAGGCGAACACAATCTGCAACACAAAAATCGGCCGATTTTGGTTAATCGTTTGCTTGAACACAATTATGTTCTAAAACATAATATAAAACCGAACCAAGAAAAAACTATAGATAAAAAATGTGTAAATACGCGGCGTTAATATGAACAATGAAGGATGTACATTTTTAAGGGTTTCAACCTTGAACTTTCAACCCCCGTCCTGACCATTTGTATGCTCAGATGTCAACTTTTTTTAGTACAAGTAGTACAGTACAGTGTCGTATTATTAAATCATTCGATTATTTATTGTTTTACAAAGGATATTTCTATATTAAAAAATAGGTGGGAAAAAATTCGACCGTATATAGTGACGGAGCTCTGCTCCTCACGGGCGGTTTTTTTCTTCGAACTGCAACGAATTCGTGCACATAAATAACGGTTACGTATGTATAATATAATATTTTGTTTTTATAACAATTCGTTTCGAGCTAATTTCGAACCACAAGGTTCACGATTTATTTGTTACGATTAGATTTGCAGTGTTTCCCAGCAGCCGGTGGTTCTGCAAACTCATCCCGGGTGGTTGGACACGATGCGAAATCATTTTTTTAGTCCATTTTCAAAACCTATTGTCATTCCAGAATTCAAATATTATAATTTAATGAACAGCAAAAATTTAAGACTCTCCGAGTTAACAGTTTTATTATGGCGTCTGATTATTATAATTATCAGTTTATGAGCAAAACAAACAATAAGTCACCGAATTAGAGACTGTCCGCAACTTATCGAATAGTTCTTCAGTGATCTCCACCGTCTTAAAGACTTATCGAATATAGGTATTTATAAATGAAAATTGTTTAAATTACTATTTTCTTTTTCGAATTTCAAAAAATAAATAAAAGTGAATTCGATATTTATGTAAATATGTATAGAAGGAAAAAACAATACAGTTTCTAATGTCGACGACCTGTTTAATATGACCTGCTGCACCGCCGTCGCCGGACGAATGTGACAGCCGACAGGTATTTGCGGTGAATTCTTCCCATTCGGTGAGTTTTATTATTATTATCGTTAATTTTTTATTTAATGTGAATACCCGAGTGAACGGAGGTAGAAAAAAAAATATATTGAAACAATGTAGTCACGTCCGCCACGGGTCTGCATCAGCAGTAGGTACCTATATATTGTTATATTTCCTGGTCATTACGACGACGTCCGAATGCATTCCCGCCAAATTCGTTCACCGACTGCAGTTGGTAATATAATAAAATATAAGAAACATGTACTCGGTTACGGTATAGCATTAAAAAAAAAAAAAAAATCATTTTCCTATTCACCCGAGACGAGAGAATCCCCAATCCACCATACCTATTATAATATTATACCCGCGCCGATATTAACCGTATATTGTAATATTATTTATATACGCCGGATATAAAATAATATTATCTGTTATTTCGCGTTCCCGTAACACTCGATTGGAGTCGTCTGTAGCGGCGTTTCTCAATCTGGGGTTCGCCAGCTACCTAATTGTTATTTAGGGTGGCCGTGTGTAAAATTCATATTTATAGGAGTCGCAAAAAAAAAAAAATGTAATATTCATTTGGGGAATCGCGACAATCATAGAGGTTGAGAAACACTGGTCTGTAGGTTTTTTGGACTTTACCGGCGGAGTAGACGGAGAAAAACAGGCGGTAGGTACCTGTAATGGTACAACGACCTCTCTCCCGTAGCGGGTGGTTGCGGGCTGAAATCGGAGTGTCCCGACCGCGGTTATTGTGTACCTCTCTCTCTCTCTCTCTCTCTCTCTCTCTGCAATATAATATATATACATATATATATATTCACTTTTTTATTATATAATAATGTATACGCATACAGAGGTAGCCTCAAGCGATTTTTGTTTTCGTCGCAACATTATATTATTATGTACACGCGCATATGCTTTACGACGTTCGTGCGCGCGTAATTAACGGCCGAACAAATGAGATTCGCGGCTTATACGTCATAAACAGCGAAGACGATCCGTCGCCCGAGGCTGTGTAGCGTGCCGGTCGCCTCCGCCTCCGGGTACCGTCACGTATCGACGTATGTGTCACGTCGCATACAATAATATTGTGTTATTTATTTTTCGCACCGCGTTTTTTTTTCGAGTTCTGCGAGACTGCCCGACGTGCGCAGTAAATATACATAGAAAAAAAAATAAAATAAATTTAGTACACGTACGCATGATTACTAGTAGAATAAAATAAAACATAAGACAACGTTGTTTTTTTTAAAAAAAAATCATAATATGAACGCGTGAATGTGCACGGGGTGCGACGTGCGCCGGTCAAACTCCAATACGGCGTGACCTGGACAACGGGGCTATTATCAGGACAAAAGACTACTGCGCATCAGTCGAGCGGCTAGACCAGATCCTACAACGAATGTTCCAAACGAAACATTTGGAAAGCTTAGGGGCGTAAGAAACTATAATACAAGAAGTTGACGTTGATAAGAGACAAATAGACGCGTGAGGCGCGTGACGTGGCGTCGGGGCTACACGGTTCATAAAGCTGTACGAAGAAGAAGAGGAATCTAAAGTTTTTTTGTTCTAAACGCTCTTTCTGTTTACATAATAATGTGAGGCGTATGCGACGACGGACGTGTGTTTCCGGGATCAGATCGAAATACGGCGACGGATTCCTTTGGTTTTTCTCATGGTCGCGGCCAAAAATCGCGAACAGTAATCGAAACGACGAGCAGAATGTTATTATTATTATTATTATTTTTTTTTTTTTCTGGCAGAAATCGACAAAGATTTTTCACACGCGTTGTAACGGTGACGCGGACGGGGTCGTTTTGTGTAATGTGTTGCGCCTTTACGGTATAGCGCTATAATAAATTATATTAATGCCGTACATCGCTCCGACTCCCGGTCGGTTCGCTATTCCCGCGGCGTTTATCGCACACACGCGCGACACCACCAGTGGCCGACGCCCACGGAATTCGATAACGGCTTCGGCGGTCCCCTCCGGCCCCGTCAGTCACGTCGCGTCGACCGACCGGCACCGGCCGATTGACGCGACAGGCGCGCAATTGCAATGGCATGCTGCGGCGGTCCGCCTAAATAACGCGCGCCGGCCGTACGCGATTGACCGATTATTATTTATCATTCCGAATCCGCGCGATAAATAAATAATATTGTTGCGGACGCGTCCGGAATATCGAAAACGGGGTCGCGGAGCGCCGTTACGCGTGCCCGATGCGTTCCGGGGGTTTATGTTTTTTTTTTGTTTTTTTGTTCTCACACTCGTCGCGGATACGAACGAACCGCTTTACAATAGCAGCCGATGACGTCAGTTGACCGGGGGGGGGGCGGGGGATTGGGGAGTTTCACCGTTTAGTTTTGAATAAGTCTCGATCGGCCTGCTGAAGTAACGCACCGTTATTTATATAATCGAAATAAAATCGTATTTTTACACGATATTATACCAATACTTCAAACTGATATAATACTATAAAATCCAACGTTATTCAATGTTATCCAAGTAAAGGTATTCTTAATTTTAATACAATGTACTAACACGCAAAACGCAACGATCTATAAATAGAAATATAACTGTTGTAAAATTTGAATTGTTTTATTTAAATTTGCGTTCCTGTACATCGAGTAAGACGAAAAAATTATTTAAAAATAGTATTTTATTTTAAATACTGATAGTTTCAAAAAAGTATTCAAATACTGTGCTCAAGTACTTTTTTTCAAATGTATTTAAAATACGTATTAAAGTACTTAAAAAGTATCTGAATACTTTTACTCAAGTACTTTACAATACTGGTTGATGGAAATCAAAATGTTTAACATCAACATTTATTTAAACTTAACTCCATCTATTTATAATATTTTTAATATAGGTTATTATTTAAGAATCGAAAGAGAGTAGTGATTGACCCCCTAAAATAAGAATGACAACAAATAACAGTTATGTTACATTTTAGAGCTACTTATTTCTTAAATATTTTAAAAAACAAATTCTGTATAAAATGAAAAAAATTTCCGAGATAATGAGTGTCTTATGTTATTTTGATCATTATTACTGGCCAAGGGAACCTTGACCCACCACTTCCGTAGGTTGTGTTAGGTTATGCTTTGTTCAGAACTTTGGTATTGCATGTCATTCACGTACGGAACGCGAGTGCCAATACAATAATATAACGACCCGAATCGCGAACTTGGGTTTAACGATCGACGTCAAAGTACCGCCACTTTCCCTACTCTGGACTTGGATATTATCTGATCAATTACTCGCGAACTCGCGAAGAATAACTATAATATATATTGTATTCGAAAGTGACGGACATTATCATGACGTTATCGTTGATAACGTGCGTACGTTTTTTATTAAAAACCATATTAATATTGTTGTTCGCTATAACTTACAACATAATTAGTATTATGTGCGAGTGATGAACGTGATGCACGTGTCAAAATTCAATATTCATTGATGTGTTTTCATTTTTGTTGTTAAGACTATTTTGAATTGCTTTTATTACAATAATGGTTAGTGTTAATATTTCTGTTAAATTTTCTAAGTACCCGCATACAAACATGCAAACTATTTATCAAATATAAACTTATAAGTTATAAGTAATATACTTAAAAATATGTATTTATATAAAAATATTATGTGGAAATATGTAAAATAAAAAAGTCGTGTTTTATTCAGGATGTTATGGAATGTGCATATTTTTAATTAGAATTAAGAAATCTGAATTCAATATAATTATGTATTTACAAAAAACTCAGCGGCCTATTGATCAATATTTTCGGGATAAACTTTGCTGCCACTCGGCGAATATGTAGTTTTTCAGGCACAGTTGTTTGATATGAGCCATGTAAAATGTTGCGTTTCTCTATCAATTAGGGTTCTGTCATCACAATAAAATAAACCTCAACTCCCCTCCCCCTCCAAAAAAAACACTCGTCAAGTTGCTCTTATTTTGGATTTATAATAAAATCTCCTTACATGAAACATATTTTATAAAATCATAGGTTATATTAAAATGAATAAGGGTATAGAGAATCTATAAAAACAGATATGTCTAGGAGAAATCACAGAAGTCAGTGATACAATCCTATGCTTTTCGACGCTCTGTTGGTGTGAAATTCAAAGTGTCCAGAAACTTTTTAATCACATCTCGTTTATTCGAATATAATATTATTATGATTACAAGGTCATTGACTTTCTACGACCGGTATGCGTATATGATGTACGTGTCTCACGTATGTAATCGTAACGATTTTTATAATCTTATATAGAACATCATTATAATATTGTATAGTTACATCATTGAAATTTGTTTTAAATCACTATTCTAACATAATATAATAACCAGTTTCTATTTTCATTAAGTTTCTTTTGAATATTGAATATGTATGAAACATTTTTTTTTTAATTCTAAAGGATAAATTTTATTCTGGTATACATAATATTTATATAACAGTTATTATATTATATTATATTATCGTCAGCCTAATTCCCAATTCTCCTCACTCAAAAAAAGTGATTTTGTGTTTTTATATTTCCAATTAAACTAATTGATGCGTCGACATTAAAAATCATGCTTAAAAAAAAAAAAAAAAATTATTGTTTCATGAAAGCGCTGCTGAAAATACAAAGGAGTTGTTGCGTTGTAGAAATGATCTTTCGGACCTCTTCAAATATTCTAATATTATCATTTTGTAGTTGGAAATAAGCGTTTAATGCTTCTTCTGAACAGTTGACATTTTGGAGTTTGGACAACTGGAAATTAGACCGACGTTATATGGTAAATGACTAGAATATATTCAAATACTAGTATTATATCGAGTAATAAATATTCGAATTGTTTATATATCTGTTGGAAATAAAATAACAATATCGTTTGTAGGGATTCGCATTTTTTGACATTATATTATTTCCTATTTGGTTAAAACAATTTTTATACTAAGAAATTTCAATTTATCAAAAATGTTTTTGTATTTATCTTTGCTACTTATATGTTAAAATACGTAGAATATATTATTATTGTTAAATTATAGATTACCCAATCGAATCGTTGCAAACTTTATAGGGTGGCATAATTTATTTTCATTTATTTAACGTATGTTAATTTATTACTTTTTCAAATGAATGCATTTTTTTTAAACATTATTTACAAAGATTTAGGTACATATTATTAAACTCATTTAACTAATTTATTATAAACCATCGTACAAAATATATTGAGTTTTAATTTTATAAAGACTTATAAGGTTAGGTTAGATTAGTCTGAATAATTTTACGTTATAAGAACCAGTCGACCCGACATATTAACCGTACTGGCGATTGTTGGTTGGATAATAAAGTGGTAACGCTGTTAGCGGTCTAATGCAATAATCTGCAATCTATATAGCTCAATGCAATACAATTCTTCAGTCTTTAAGTCTCTTTAATATTATGTCGAAATTATCCGATTTAGTTTAAATTCCAAATCGGTCGAAGAAACGAAAAATCAGTTGTATACCCGTATCGATTACATACTAGATTTTCACGAATTCATATAAATGATAATACAATTCTTTTTTTCGTGTATACTTTTATTAGAATATTAGAAACAAAGTTTTTATAGTTACGTATTTTTAAATATATAATACATTACTATTTTATTGTTTTTGTTTCATTTTCCCGGAAAATATAATTAATGACATTTTATTATTTCTATGTTGATTAATCTTTTTACAGCTACATTTGGTTACTGTTAGCTTCACCTTCTGGACCAAATGAGCTTAAACTGGAGAACTCATAGTAGTTTTATAGGTGGATTGAAGTAATCAAAGTTATTAGTTGAACTTCCAAATGAATTTCACCATGTTTTGCGGAAGGAGGGCATTTATTTTATTCTTTAGCTATGAAAACTTTTACATATTCCCCAAATGAAACTATGAAAATGAAATTTTGTGTGTGAATGATAGTATGAATAATGTGCCTTTTGTGGGTTTCGACTTTCAAACCCCACCCTTACCATTTTATAATCAAATTTCGCTACTTTTGAAAGTATAGTATAATTAGTCAATTATTATTATAGTAAATTGTATTACTATAGTATAGGTATGCAATTATTTATTATTTTACAAAATATTTTTCTATAATACCAAATATAGATGGAGAAAAAATTTGACTCGGACGGAATTCCACTGCTCACGGGTGGACCTTTTTTTGAAATAGAATAAAATATTTAAAAAAATTGTATAATTACGATTTGTAAAACATTTTAGTATGTTAAATAATTGTACTAGTTATTAATTATTAAATGAAAGTGCTCGTAAAAACGTTAAATTGAAATTTAGTTATGGCTAATTAGAAGGTACCTATCTATTGTAATTAAAACTAGTTTTACATAGCAAATACTCTTGTAAGAAAGTAGATATTTTAATCCCAAATAATTTGTAATTATATTTCTTTGAGGTTTTATTTATTATACCAACTGTTAATTATGTAGGCATCTATACATTTTGACTGCAATTGTTTCGTTTACATATAATATGTACGTTTTTTGAACTCTATACAATTATTGTAGGTACATAAATATGATTATTTTCTATTTCCTGATATATTTACTACACCGTTAAACCACTTCCTAGAATATAATGCATATATAATACGGTAATAATTAGTATATTTGTGTTTGTGGTGTCTTAATAATATATACTGTAGTTTATATAACTATACAGTATATTATTCTATAATATATACGTATTAGAATAATATTAATTTGAGTTTTATTATGTTTTAATTTAACATTTACATAGTAAATTACCTACAGTAAAAGTTGAATAACTGTGAGCGCACGAGTAAAATGTAAAAAGTAATAATTCGAGTGAGTTATCGATCGAAATTATGATTAATTATGAGAGTATATAAACGATATAGATGCGTATGAATTCGGTGTATCCTACTATACGGTGATACTACTGATGGGTGGGAAACTGTTATAGGTGGAAAGTTGGGAAGATAGGATATATAAAGTTATTTAATTTATATCTATAAACAACGATAAACTACTGCTAACGAAAAACGATTCTGGGCGAAATTCTTTTATACATGATTTTTATAATCGTAATATTTAGGATATTCTTCAAAATTTGATCTTAAAACAATTGTAAAAAAAAGTGACTATATCACACTCTAATTTTCTTACTTGACTACTAAGTAGGTACTAGTTATAATGAACCTCCTGTTATCATGTATTTTTGTTTGGTTAAACAATTATATCCTAATAACCAAATAAGTATAAAAACAATGTAAAAAACACATCATAAAATGTCTATAAATAGTTCAAAAATGGCTAAAGTGTTTTGGAAACTTTACAATGTCCAGAAAAGACAAATATAAGTTTTCTGTCAAAATTTCAAGTCTCCATGAATATTTTCAACTGAATTACAACAAAAAAATTAATTTATAAGTAATAAAACCATTATCTTTGTAAGCTTTTCTGTTCTTTCTGAGGTTTTTCGATTTTCTTCAATAATTAAAAAACTACAAGGAAAATCAAAAAGCGAAATACTGATTAACCAAATAAATTAAATATGCAAAACAATAGGTCTCTTGCCGTTTTTTCTATTGGAACTAATATATCTGGTAGAAAATATAGTGCTTACAAATTAAAAACAATAAAATTGGTGACGCCGTGGTGTGCCGTAAATAGTTGCTGTTTTTCCGAAAAAATTTTTTTCTGGTTATTTCCAATTATTACGAAAACCCTTTGAAAAATCAAAAAAATGATCTCTTCATTGCACCAATGAGAAAATCCTTTCAGAAAAGGTCATTTACTTGATCTATCGGAACAAGGTTCCGATGGATAAAGATTGATAACAGATTAATCTGTTCGAAAATTTGGTTACAGATACAAAAAAATAATAAAAAAATACACAATAGGGTATGTGATCGCGACTCTCTGAATCTAAAATGATTGATTTTTACGAAAAAATCGATGCGCATGTTGTTTTCTGTAGGTTTATTGGGATACTTTATGCGTTTTAAAGGTCAGAACCTATATATTATTACAGGTATTATAAATACTCGTTCCTTCGCGATTATTACAAATTGATGTTTTATGATTTTACCTTGAAAGTGTTATACTTATTATTTGTTACGTTATACCACATATTATTTTATAGATACCTGTCTACATTTTCAACTTTTATTTTGCTCAATATAATCAGATAAATACCTTCATCGTTCAATTAAATGGATTAAATATTCGTGTGGACATTTATATTATACAGTTGCATAGGTAGTATTATAATCGTTTACTTATTATAATTACAAAATTATAAAATTTTGTTAGATAATAGTAGAAAAAAAAAACACGTTAACACAGAGATCTGTGATCTGTGCGTTGGTTTGTAGCTTTGGGCGAAAGTAAATAAAAATAATATGTTCGAGCTATATTGGAAATTCGCTCTAGTTAGTAAAAGTGAATGTTACCAGCCATTCGGTATGCGACCGAAAACCCACATAAATATTGTTATTTAACTCAATCAAATATATTATATCATGAATAATGTACTCGTGTGCTCGAGATTTTTAAATTCTATTCCATTCGTCGTTTAGCAGGTATGTGAACAGTTATGACAGTTTTTAGTCCGTTAATACCTATTGGATTCTTATCGATAGTTGTTATAATTTTAATATCCCTATATATTGCGATAATAAATTATATTACTAAGTATCCCATCAATAAATCATCGTCAGTACCGTAAATAGTTACAAATAGTGGATAAATTGAATCCGTAATTTATAATAACATATCTTTTTTATTAGAAAAAAATATCGAGTTATAATATGAAGCTGGAATTATGGATTTAAATTATTTTGTACCTACTAAAGTTTCGGTTCAAACATACGGATGTTAAATAAATATTATTATTATTCCATATTGTGATGTTTGATCGAATATCTACATAGCGTGTTACAATTTTATGAATAAGAATTATTATTATTACTTATTTCCCTAGCAATTCATAAAAAAAAACATTTCATGACCATTTATAAATCAAACTTATCCCGTTCGAGACCTACATCGATATGACAATATAATGAAATCACCTCGTCTCTCCAAAGTCACCGTGTGTATAAATATGTAAACCAGATTCTGACGATGACTTCGTTTTTTTGCAAAAAATAATTGAAATTTATACGCATGTTGTCTGTTAGACATTGTGTTCAAACGTCAGTAGTCATTTTTATTTTTTTCATTCACTATGTATAAATCTCACATTGAATGTGCACTGTCAAGGTTGCAAACGCAGTGCATTGAAACACAATTTTATTTAACGAGCAGCCCGCCATCGGGGTTGTGGATGTGTGATGTGTTTTTTAATATAAAAACAAGATTGACCTTCACTAATGAATAGAAAAATTGTGATGGCACCGCAATTGAGTAGTGTTCTGATATACTTCTTAATGGTGTTTTTATTATAGATCTTCGGATGCGATTAACGAAAATTAATGATTTCAAATACGCGTTCAGAGTTTCGTTTACGATTTATTTTGAATAGATGTATGTGATGTGTTCTCCAAGTTTTAATGGTTTAAATAACTGTTAATGATTTATACTTGATTTTTTCAAAAAATGTAAAGCCTATGTTATTTTTATGTATACCTACTTGTGTAATTTTATTATTATCTATCTTTATTAAACATTTTTTTCCTTATTAAACAAGTCAAATTTTTTTGCTTTTAAAGTCGCACGTTTTATATTTTTTTGAAAAATCGGGAAAAAATAATATTTTTTAACTAACTTTAGATGGCCGTATATTAAGTAATTTTTAAGATAAAAAATTATATTGATTAAATTGCATGAAAAAAATAGGACTATTTGAATCTAATGTTCAGTAAAGACAAGTCTGTACTGTTAGTTTTATTATTAGAATGAATTTATAAATTAACAAATTTAAATATAAGAATATGATCTGTGCAACTACGTTGGTATTTTTTAAAATTTTTAAACACTTAAAGCATTTTTAAATTGTGATGTTTCATATACATGTATCTTACTTAAAACATTAAACGTATTTGCACAAGTAATATTCTTATATTTAAGTTTGATAATAGGTCAATTCACTCTAATATTAAAATTACAGCACAGAATTGTCCATGCTGACTCAAATTTGCTGTCGTGCGGACTACGAAGTCAACACATGCTGTCGTGCGGACTACGAAGTCAACACATGCCAGAATTGTCCATGCTGACTCAAATTTGCTGTCGTGCGGACTACGAAGTCAACACATGCAGGACTACGAAGTCAACACATGCAGGTGTGGCGTTCTCTTAATACGTACTAGCAAGGCGTAATACGCTTCACTAAACAAATTAATAATTTACCAAATAGTTGTACTATTTAACATAATTATTAATTTCTATATCAAATTGTTTGAGTAAAACTAAGTACAAGAAATTTATAAATGTAATGCGATTATTACAAATAAAATACAATTATTCAAAATAAACGTAAGTTTTAAATACAATAATAATAATTATATATTATTGATAAAATAGAATATTTTTAAAACTTAAAATAAGACATATACATGTATAGTATCAAAATGAATGAATAGAATATTAATTTGATAAGAAGTTGAGAACGTTCTTTTATTCAACTTTGTTACTGGCGTCTTTCCAGATCACACGTCTATAGAGTCAATGTCTTACTCGTATAATATTTATAATAAATAATACATGGTTATATAACATAAAGTTACAGAGAACACGTGCATAACTTCATAAGTATAACATTCAATAATTTAAAACATGTTCTACTGTCTATAAACCAATAAATTAATATGTTATTACGCCTGTTATATTTACCTGGCATAGGTTACTCCAATGGTAAGAGTTGTTTTTAGAATATCACCTACATTTGTTATTAACTACTTTTAACAATAGATCGTTTCTGCGTTTCTATTTTGTTGTTCATATTGTTCATAAATATGATATAAAGTCGAGAGATTATTTTAAATTACTGAATCATTTCCCTCCTATTGTTTTAAAATAATCTGTATACACATATTATAAAAAAGATCGGTAAAGTTTAATAGCTAGTTTATTAAAATATTAAATTTGTTTAAATTCTGAGTAAAAATGAATGAGGCTATAATTTAGTTATAGGCATTTGTTTGTTTGTTTTTTCTTACATAAAACAACTTTTAGGCCTTTTAGATTCTTATTTTATCCCAATATTTAATTCTTTATACATTTGTTTAAAGAAAAAAAATACAAACATAAATATACTAATCAGTAATCATTAATATTCTGCATCTGCATTATTATAAATATATATATATATATGTATATATAATATTTGCATAATAAAGTATCAAAATCGTTGCAGAAAATTTACTCGATTCGATATTCGGTATTGTCTTAAGTATTGAAGATATCGCGGTATCGAATCATCCACCTCTAATATATATATAGTCAACAATTTGAAAATAATAAATGTATACACTCAAATAGGTTTATAATTGAGCATGGGCTATAGGTACTCTTAGAAACTAGGAATGAGAAATTATATTAGACAAAATTATAAAATTTTTGTTTGGTCTAACAATTTTATCCTCAAAGTACTTACTGAATAAAAATGACTTAAACATTTTTTAAAATTAAAATATTTATAAATAGCTCAAAAACGACCAAAATATTTTAAAAATTGTACCACGTCTAGAAAAGGTAAATTTAAATTTCAAGTCTTTACGAATATTTTTAATTAAATCACAACAAAAATCAAAATTGAAAATAATATATTTCCTGTTTTTCCTACTGGTTTTTTTTCGGTTTTTCTATGTATTATAAAAACTTCCGGGAAAATAAAAAAATATGATGCATAGGTATATTTAAATGATTTAAAGTTCATCGGCATTATGCGATTCATGACAAAAATTGATTTTTGTTTCAAATAGTATACTTATTACTTATCTTATATACTTAGGTATCTTGTATCTTTGATCTCATGGAAGAAGGGCTTAAGTAAGGTTTATTTTATGTGATATTTCAAATGGTATACGTGTATACATTTTCTAAATATAATTAATATTTTTATTGAAAACTAAACGCAATTAGCTTAAGCACTTCTTCCTCGGATATTTATAATATCAATACGAATTATTATTTTGTAGGTAACGAATTTACTTACGAATTTCATTGCCATATTACGAGTTGTGTAGTAGACAGCGACGTTTTATAATAAATTATTATTATTTTTATTTGTTCGACAAGACGTTTATGGACGCGTTTGTTGACTTATATCTCGAGGAGTGTACGATGTGCAAGACGAGATAGTGCACACTGTACGGATCGCACGGTTAGCGGTAAGACGTCAATGTAAGAAGACGGCCGAGACGAGTCCCCTACTATAATGTTCTCTTTCACCGCGAAAAAATTGACTCGAGGGGGGGGGGACTTGGGGGTTGAATAAAAAAACTTAACGCGATAATGGCCGTCGTTATATTTCTTGTATATTATATTATATATTTTGTTTATATAGGAACGTCTTCAGATATTTATAATATTATTCCCACGCGCACGTACACACCGTGCATATAACCGTATAAAGAGTAATGTAATATTATATTGTCTAGGCATTATGCGTATACGTATATTTAAATTGTTTTTCGGTTGTTTTTTATTCCATTGAATATAACGAAGTATATTTTATATGCATATAATGACTTATATATATGAGAATAACGTTTCCAAGCATGACGAAGAGAAGTTTTTAAACATTTTTGAACACGTCGTATGTTCTCATGAACCCGCCGCCGCTGTGAACAACTATATAGCTGTTTCCATATATTTTAACATTTTTTTATTTTTATAAAAAAAAAAAAAAAAATAAAGTTTTTATTTATAAAACTTTTAAAGTTAGTAATAACGATTCGAGTAGATGATGCAAATAAATTTAATTTAATTTAATTTTTAGTATATTCTACATGTACTACAACCTATAGGTATACGTAATATTTCGTAACGACGAAAATTGTAAAACTAATACGAATAAACATATAATATTTGACTCAAAAAGTGAACTTTATCGTCATTTACCAAATTTCAATAAATTATGTCTAATAGCTATCCAGTATTCGTTATCAAGAGCTATAATACATTGTTAAGAAGTATCAACTGAAAACTATACAATTAAATATGATTATTTAAAAAAAAAACCTAATTTCTACACTTTGAGAGCTTTGGGGGTTGAAGCACGGGTTAAACTTAACCAATTAGTATAAAATATTAAAAAGAATTTCAAGGTTCGACTTAAAAAAAAAAAAAAACAAGTTTGGGAAGTCCACAAAATCGTGTAAAGTATCCGGTTTCTAAATATATTATAAACAATAAACTAAAATTCTATATACAATTTTGAATGAATTTGATAACCTAGTACTAATGATGTTCCGGGTGGCTTATTTATTATCAAATTGGGTACTGAGTTTTGTCTGAGTAATAATATTACATATAAATCGGGTACCGAGTATTAGCCGAGTAATATTATCAATCGAGTCCTGTGTGTCTTGGATTAAGGTTAGTCAAGATTCAAGTATTGAGGAATGAAAATGAAAATAGAGTACGTTGTATATAATAATCAACACAAATAATTTAATACATTTGAGTCTATAAACAATATGTTGGATTAGATATTGTTTTTTACATGAAAAAATAAAATGTCTTCATAAAACGCAATAACAGATTCTGTTATATCCGATTTTGTATTTTTGTTGTTTTTAATAAGTTAGAAATAATAGTAAGGACCTGATATTTTTACCAAATACTTGCATTAACATTTTCTAGATATAGTAAAATTATCAAGATATTCAAGTAATTTTTGAGAAGTTATTTATAAAATTATAACAATTTTTCAAATGGTTAAAAGCCAAAATGTTCAAATTTTGTCGTTTTTATTTGGTTTTAAGAAGATAAAATTATTTTTGCCCAGCGAAAATGTTCACGTTAACATAAGGCTCATCATAAATCGAACTTAGTAATAAAAAAAAAAAAAAAATGCACATACTTCGCACGTGGGTGGGCAACTCACTGTTGTAGGTGAGAAGTTGTAAAGTAGAAGTGGAATTAAATGTATATCCACATGCAACGATTAACCATTGCTAACGAAAAACGATTCTGGTCGGAGTTCGATTAATAGTATTGCTTTTTCAACATTATACATTTTCTTTGGTAATATTTGTTTAATGTTGTACCAATTTTCCTGTTTTTACTACATTTTTTCCATTTATTGGAAAAACTCTTGAGAAAAACACCTCCTTAAAGTACCGTTCCAGTTAGATTTCTTTTCAGAAAAAGTGTTACACTTGTAAATTGGACCACGATTCCTGGTAGAAAATTTGTTTATTAATAAAAAAAAAACATAAACTTATTATAAAACTAATTCATTCTTCGCTCTGCTCAGAATTTAAAAGATTGAGGAGTAATGAAAATTATAAAAATCACGAAATTTTTAAAACGTGATGAAGTTTGGTTGAACTTCTTGCAAACACGTTTTTCATTAGCAATAATTTGTTGTTGCGTACAGATATTATTCTAATATAATATATCCTTTCTTCCCAACTTCCCACCTATAATAGTGGCACACTTACTGGGTTTTTTCAATCTGTTAATGTTTATGTTCGGATTAAATTTTAAATAACTATTGTCATTAGCATGGTTATCTACTAGGTATCTAGTAATAATCGTGATCACATAAATTTGATTTAGATATTGAAAAATGAGCGTGTATATATTTTTTTAATATCCAAAATATTATCGCATAACTACTATTATTTCATTTGAAAAACATTTTAATTTTTTACGAACATGTATTAGGTAAAAACTAAAAATATATCTTTGGTGATTTGCTGATTCCCGGCACGTTATTTTACGGTTGTTTATACATTTAACGGTATTGATTCGGATCACGTATGCAATATTGAAGCACCGTAAAAACGTTTAACCTTTTATAACCATTATATAATTTACTGTTATTAATGTACAATAACGGAATATGTTATTTATCAATAATTATAAAAAAAAGTTTCTATTGCTCATGGATAGGCCACTGTTGTAGGTGGGTAGTTGAGAAGGTGAAATATACAAGAAAATTTAGTTTATATACTGAATGCAATGATAAATCATTGCCAACATGAAAACGATACGGAGTAGTATTAATAATTTTTTTGCTTGTGGTTGATGATCGGATCACAATTTTTGCTCAAAAAGTAGTTTACGGGCAGAAAAAAAGCGAATAATAATAATAATACAAATTATTCTTTTTGCGTTGTAATTAGATCGTAGTAAACGTTTCCCTAAAATATTAGGGGCATATTGTATGACGATTGCGATGATTTATATAATATATATAATAAATTCGGATCTCATGATCAACAACAGTTTGCTCAACGATAACATCATTTGTCACCAGAGAAGACGGAAATAATTCTCCGGCGTTGAACAGTTTGCTTCAATCCTCATGAAGCCGTAATAAAGTACAAATGAGGTATTTCTTCTGGTTTTTTTGTCTGAATGATTTTAAAAAATCATGAGTTCGGACTGACGACGCAGTGACCAGATGAATAGATTCTGCTTGAAAGCCAACAAACCAAAGTCTTCGGATTCTTAATTGAATAACCAAATTCAATACCCAATACCGCTTAATTCGATAAGGAACTGTTGTACTTTACTCTTCAGATTGCATAGTGGTCTATAGATTTTTCACGATCGGTTTTATTTTGTAATTACTACACGATAAAACAATAATTTATCATTTGGTTATCTCAGACAAAAAATAAACAGACATACTTATGATTACTGGGCCACTTTTGTAGGTGATCAATTGAGATGAGAAGGTAGAGGGGAACTTTAATGTATATAATATGAACGCAACGATTAACCATTGCTAACCAAAAACATTTGTAAGCGAAGTTCAGTTATACATGTTTTGAAAATAATAAATTTTGTAAATTTGCGCATTTTTCCTACAGTTTACGGAAAACTCCTGGGAAAATCAAAAAAAAAATAGCCTCCTTAACGTATCAACCCCAGTAAAATTTCCTTTCGGAAAAAGACCAAAATTTGAAAATTGGAGCAAAATTTTTGTTGGAAAAGTTGTTCACAGACTAAAAAATAAACACCATTGTAAAACCTCTCTTTCTCTCTTCGCTCAGAATCTAAAAATATCTTTTTTAAATGATAAATTCCCGTAAAAAAATAAAGATTAACTGGAGATAAGAATAATTGTGAAAATGGGGAAATACGTTAAATAGAATTTGTATTACTGTTTTTTTGTTTTAATGGGGTTGAACCCCATTAGTAGCTAGTAAAAAATAATTGTATTTTGAAAAGACACCATTATTATATCATGTACCAATAATAGTATAGTTTTTTTTGAAAATTAGATGATGTAGAGCAGTTGTGTCCAACTTTTTGTTAAGACTGGCCCAAATCATGTAAGTAGAAGTTGTTATGAGCCACATACATTTTAATACATCTAATAATATCTAATAAAACATTTTATTTATAATTTTACCACAGTAAATAACGAGTAGAAATATTTTCACGAGCTATTACATTTAATTTATAATTAAAAGAAAACAGTTTTAAAATAATTGTTGATAATAATCTTATCACTATCGTATCCCAACAAAGATAAAACTTTCATATTATTATTAGTATATATATACTATTATTTAGTAATTTAAAGTTTATTTAATTTTGAATATTTTGTACTATTTGGAAATCAAAAATTTTGACACCAAAATTTATTTAAGGTAATACTCCATCTATTTATGTAATTTTAATATAGGTTCTCGTTTGAAAAACTAGATTTGGTATCATTACAGGATACTCCTTAAATGTTGTGAAAAATCTAAGTATTCAAAAATATCGGCTTTAACTATATTCTTATAAATTCCAAAAATCAGAATTTAAATACATGCAAAATTTAATGAAAAAAAAAATAAGGTTAGCATACTTATTAAATCACTCCGTATAGAGGCTATAATAAATAATCTTCAGTATCTAAGTAAGAATTTTATTTTAAACGATGCTTTCCACTTATTGATAATGATTTATTATATATTAACATAAGAACGATTCATTTTGCAGTTTTATTATAGAAGAACTATTTAAAGTACTGTCAGTATAGTTGACATAGTTGCCAAAGAACAATTTTTACCATAGGTACTTAGCTTTTTTGCTTGTGTTGCATTTTCTATAAGTATCTTCCCTCTACAGATTATTAATTATTGTAAAAAAAGAGTATCATCATCATCATTGAACGAGTTTCTTACCAACGTAAATTTATTATTATGTTTTAAATTATCTAAATTGTATCTAATAGCGTACGTTTATTGTGTAAATAATTGTTTAGATTGTGTATATTTATTTTAATTATTATTAAAAAAAAAAAATTATACGGACTGAGAACTGAACGTTGGGCAATAATTGTCTCGCTTCGCTCACCTCGACCCAAGCTAGTTAATATTATGTTGTTATTACTTATCTACTATAAAGTTGAAAGTAACAATAACTCGAACGTAATTGTTAGAACAAAATTAAAATTAGTAGTTTTACAAAACTAATATGAAAATAAAACGTATACGAATTCAAAATAAGCCCGACAAATTAAGAATAATTATATTATTGCATACAAACAAGAAATCTTGATTGTCATTTATTAAGTACTGCTCAAAAATAACTGAAAAATGACTTTTTTCCATGGTTTTAACAAATATTACTAACGAAAAATGATTCAGATCGAAGAAGTTCGGTTTTACATGATTTGAATGGCCGTATTATTTACGATTTTCATAAAATTTAATCTTAAAATTATTATAAAAAAAAACTATTTCGTTACTAATTTCTTTTTGTAAAATTTATAACGAACCTTCTGTTAAATTTTCAAATTTTCTGTTAAGTTCAACAATTATTATATTCACATAGAACATATCGAATAAAAAACCCACAAGCATAAAACGCCTAAAAATAGTTCAAAAATCGCCAAAATGTTTTGAAAATTGCATACGTTAATAAAAAGACAAAAATAAGTTTTGTGTGAAAATTGCAAATTTCTATGAATATTTTTAATTCAATTACAATAAAAAAAAAAAATTTAACGCAACGTTACCGATTTCATTGTTTTTAATTTTTGCAAACTAGGTTTTTTACCAGAAATATCGCTCTACTAAACAGGAGACTTTTTATTTCGTTTTCGATCTAGTTGCTCATGAAGAAAGTCGTTTTTTGATTTTTTTTATTAGTTCTCATAATAATTACAAAAATCGAAAAAAGACAAAATATGGGAAAAAAAAATTACGGCCTAGTATTCCTTTATTTTAAATTTTAGATTTTGAGTGTAGCAAAGAAGCTTTGGTTTACAAAGATTTATTTATTTTTTTCTATGGACAACGTTATTACAAGATCTCTTGCTCTGATTTTTTAATTGTATCATCTTTTTTGAAAGAAAATCGGTGTAGGGAGGTACTTTAGGGAAGTCATTTTTCGAATATCCCAGAAAATGTGAAAACCGTAGAAAAAACGAGAAAATCGGTTCAATATTAAATAAATATTATTAAAGAAAATATTTTATGCCTATTTAATTATTTTACCATAATATGACGTGTATATTGTTGACAAAGCATTACTATTAACTGAACTCCGCTCAGAATTGTTTTTATTAAGCAATGGTTTATCGTTACTTACAGATACAAATTAATTTCCTCTTTATATCCTATTTTATCAACTTCTCGCCAACAGCAGTGGCTACACATCGTGCGAAGTATGTCCGTCTTTTTACGCTTTATGTTTTCTACCAGACATATTGCTTCAATAAGAAAATCACAAAAGAGCTTTTTTAATCTAATTGGTGAGTAAGAAAGTTTTTTTGATTTTTTCAGTATTTTTTTTTCTTAATAATTGAGAGTACTGAAAAAAAAAAAATGTAGAAAGGACGGGAAAATTTACGAACATAATACCGCCTTTACTTTTTTTATTATAATTAGGTTAAAAATATTCGTAGATATTTGAAATTTTGACAGAAAATGTATATTTGCTTTTTCAAAACGTAGAATTTTAAAACATTTGAGCCTTTTTGAGATATTTATAGATATTTTAATATTATGAGTTTCTTACGTAATTTTTATTTGGTAGGTACTCTGTGGATACGAATGTTAAACTAAACAGAAATGCTTGTAAATTTAACATGAGGTCCATTACAAGCCATACTTATATTGTTTAAAATAGACTATAATGTAGTATTTTTTTTTAAGAGTTTTACTATCTTGAAGAAAATCGTAACGGTCCTTTAAAGTTTCTAACAATGTATGACCGGACTTTGCTCTTAATTGTTTTTCTTTAGCAACGATTTTCATACATAAATTATATAACTTAATGTATCCTATATACCTTTTCACCTACAACAGTGGCACACCCGTCCACGGTATAAGGTCTTTTTCTTCTTAATGATTGATTTCATATTGTAGACGGACTATAATATTGATCGTTGGCACCTATATTATTACGGTCAATTTTCGATACAACAAAATATTGAATTATTCATATTATCACCTTTTATTTAGAAGAAATTATTTGAACTTTTTTTACCAATAATGTCGATTGGTAATTATATGTTTATAACTCGTTTGACGGTCAAGGTGATTCTTTTAGCTTGCGGAAGACATTAAAAATTTAAAGTTAAACTCCATTAGGGGGAAAAATGTGAACTACCGGACAATTTTTTTTTTATTCTAATACCTAGGTAGAAGCTAAAAGGTACATTATATTACTTATATCATGGGAATTTATTATTGGAATGACAACGCTGGAACACATCCACCACTTGGATTTTTTCTACTACATGTGCCGTGTTTAACAAAAAGAACAATATAATTTAAAAATATTGCCCTCCCTGGATTTTTGAAAATGGACGCCCTTGTACGTTTACTAAAAATGTATATGGGTCTAATATAAATATATATATTCTAAAAATAGTATGCACACATGAACAATGGACAGTTCACATAGCATGCAATCGTATAATACAACACGATAATGCAAATAAATGTAACTAGATTAACACAATATACATTTTTAAACTATTAATCAATTAGTATTATTATTCGTTTCAAGAATATCACTTTTATGAGTGCTTACATTTTTAGATTGTAAGTGACGTATAATATCGCAACTTGGAATAATAATCAAATTACTTTAACCATTTGAAAAAAAATATATGTCAATGTTTCAATGCGATTCAATGTTATATTTTCGATTGAATAATTTTACTTAATTTGTAATCAAATAATAGTATACTTAATTTAACATTTAAGATTTTCCAAAATTACTAAAACGATTGATTTAAAAATCATTGGGGTTTTACAAGAGCAGAGAATAGGATGATTTCAACGGAACATTTTTCTTGGCCACTCCATGACAGTATATATTTCTTATTCCTAACTTGATTCATTAGACAGATACTTAATAAGTAATACATTTTAATGTAAACTTAATTTATCGGAAATAATATTTCAAACCTTTTTTTTCTTTTTCATAATATTTTAAAGTACTCTTCATTCATACCAATTTTCAATCGTCTTATTACTAGTATTTCATTTTTAGATTTTGAATGTAGCGAAGAATGTATTGCTCTTACAATAATTATTTTTTTTATTTTTCATAATGTGTACAAAATGTCTACCAGAAATCTTGCTCCTGTTTCAAGTGTAGCAGATTTTCTGAAAGAAAATGTGGTACTTTGATCAATTTTCAAGTGGTTAGGGATAAATAGACAGATATTTACGACGTACAATTACATTTTTGTAATTAATAGTTTTTACTAGAATTTTTGGTTCAATCAAAGAATGAAAAGATACTTTTTGTTGAATTTTTAATCTAGTTTGATTTTCTGCGTAGTTTTTTTAATAATTGAACAAATCCGAAAAAAAACTTAGAAAAAGCGGGCAAATTTACGAAATTAATACTTTTAATTTTTTTATTTTTCAATTCCGTTTCTGTTGTAATTCAGTTTAAAATATTCGTAGAGATTTAAAATTTGGTACAAAAGTATTGGATTAAATATTTTTTTGAGGTGATAAGTCTATTTAAAATGTAAATTCTGGCCCTTACCAGACCCTGATTTTCGTATTTGTATGCGGTGTACCAGACTAGGGCCTTTTTCTTTCCATTGAAACAAATTTTTTTATTTAATTATATTATGTGTATACCATTTTCCGCACTTAAACGTATAAAAACTTCTTTAACAAAATCTTTAGCACAAGAAAAACTGAATTCTTTATCATGATATTTCTAACAATTATAATGTTTGAAGACATTATTGTTAAATTTTCAAAACAAAGAAACAAGAAAATTGGGTATTGTCAAATTCTATTTTAAATATAATCTATTTATTTACTAATATTTACTTAAATTTGGTTGACCTCAAATAGTTAAAATGAAGGCAAAGGAGAAGAAGAATGTTTATCTTGTAACAAATTTGATTCGTGTCATCCTACTGAATGAAAAGATACCATTTTCATTTCGCATAATATATAATTGTAATTTTTTACAGTTTTGAAAATATAAATAGATTTTTTTTTAGATTCTGAGAATATATAAATATATAATACAGTTTACATTAAAATACCTGTTACAATAAGTACTACCCGTTTTATATCTTACCTATTCTCTAAATTTGTTTATGTTATGGTCCAAGTGGTAAAATGATCATTGTAAACTGACCGGGAGTTGTGTACAACGCAAAAGTTTTTCAAGCTATGTGGATAATTCTATGCATAGATTAGACAATGTAAACAATGTTTATAAATATGCTCAGCTTATTGTAGAGAATTATTAATAATAAAACAAATATCAGGTTTGTACTTAAATACTTATTTAATTTTACATGTTTTGCATTATGGTATTTAATTAATAAAAATTAATGCAATGCCCGGTTTGTGTTTAAAATGAATAATTTTTCACTTGGACCGTACCATTTAGTTTAGATTATTTTTACCCGATAGACGATAGTATTGGCATGGGATTCTCCCGTAATTTATTTCATACAATAAATGTTATTCGGTTCTTAACGTGCATGTACATAAATGCACATTATTAGTTTCAACGGCCGCTCTGTTTTATAATATTACGCTCATCGGTGGCGTGCACAAATATCTACGACACAATATCGTCGTCGTCATCGTCATAATATTAAAATTACACTACGTGCGTGCGTACGCGCGCGCGTGCGCTCGTTTCCATAGTCACGAATCGCCGGCGCTGATATCGTTACGCGTCCTTTGCTCAGTCACGAGCCACGCCGTCATGTCCTCGGCTGCCACCTCCTCTACTGCCGTTACCGAGGAAGTTTTCGTCTACACCAAACGCCTGCAGACTGTTCACAAACACATTAGCGATGTGACCAAATGCTGTTTCTCCAAAAGATTCCATCTGGCGATTGGATCCAGGTAATGTCTTTTCCGGTATATGGACTCTATGTACGTTTATCTTAAAAACAGTGGCATTCACAAGTTTCCCACAAATAAACCTGGGTGAAACTATGCTCCCCCGGCTAAGTTGTCAGATGCCCTTCTAAGTTGCAAATTTTTAATGGGAAAGGATGTTTGATGTAGTATATATTAATCATGATTCATGAATAAATCGTAAGATTTTACGTTAAGTATGAGTATGCTTAACCCGACAATGAGAATTTACAAGCCGGATTAAAAAACAAATTTTTATTTTAAAAAAAACAATATATTTTCCTTGTAATTTGGATAATTATATATAATGTCAAGACAAAATAACTGAATAAAAACTAATAGGTGTTGTTTATAATTAGGTACGTTTTATCTTCGATTCTTTTTGATTTTATGTAATAGTAACGAATCCCGGAAAAAGAACTAAAATTATCATATAATCAGAGAATAAGTATAATCACATAATATAGATGTTGATAATAGATAGATGTTTCTTAATATAAATATTATATACATCATATATTTTTTTAATATAATATAATAGACCATTTAATATTATAAAATAATTTTAATAAATTTGGTACCCAAGATCCCGCTAACGATATATTGGGCTCATTTTTAAAAAAATAGTAAACAAAGCGTTCGAATAAATAATTCCTTAAATCTAGAAACACTATCAATATGTGGAGTACCTCAAGGTACTAACCTCCCTTCCATCCTATTTAATATTCAAATTAACCAAATAAACGATCTAAAGATACACGTTAAACTAGTCTGTTATGCTGATGACACTGTTGTTTTTGTTGACTCTTGGGACGAGGTATTTTTTGGCACATGAGTCATTCAGTGTTGAACAAAAGAAATGAAAAATTAATGAAGACATAATATTTGCTATATTATCAAATATACTGATAATTATATTTATTTATTATTTATATTATTATCGTTTTGGTCTTTTTTCCGGGGGTTTTTTTTCCGTATACCAATAGTAACAACTATTCTCATTCTTGCCAAATATTTGTTTGGTACCATTTATTTTCCTTGTCTATTCAAAATTCCATCCTTGTATTTGCTTTATAATGTCCTTTACTCTTTTATTGGCTACTTTTTTTTTTTTGACTTAACTGAATTACCACAAAAACAAAATTGGTTTTGACTAATTTCGACATTTTAATTTTTTGATTTTTTTTTCGACTTTTTTCCCCCATTATTAGACATACATATTTAAAAAAACGACCTTTTCAATCTACCGACTATGGATTCAAAATTCTAAAATGGAACATGTAAGCAAATTGAAATGCAGTTTTAGATTGAATTTTATGGTATAAATTTTATTCATAGTCAAATTAAATGAGTATTTCACACAATTAGGTATACAACCAAGTACATTTTTTTTTTAGATTTTTAAATGTATTATATTATTGGGTATAACATTATTATTATCATAGCTAGGAGGAGTCCGTGGTCAAATATCAATATATACAGTCAGATTTTCTGATTCAGATTATTACCCGCAGACCATCGCCACTTAAGGTACACCAATGACAAACATATAAAAAGTAAATAAATACGTTTATCGATTAACCTAAATCAATCCGTTTTATGAAAAAAAAGCAAAATTTCATATAAATAAATTAATGGTTAGAATTTATTTACGACCTCGCCACAAACCGTATCCGAACATATGTCATTATTATTGGTTCGTGATATCATTATAAATTATTGTAATATTATGCAAATGCATTTATCTACTTACAGGATCAGGTACAGTGTTGCCTATATTCTTCCTATTTAAAATTAAATCATTAAAAAATTGATTTTTATCGTCTTTTATTTACCCGTTGAAGAGTATTATTACTTTATACTCCTATTAATATGGCTTCCGATTATTTGTGTATTGTACTCGTCATATATATTTCGTGTTTTATGTATATATGTATACGGAAAGCCGTAAAACCTCGGAATGTATTTGCTCAGATTGTATAATTCTAGAATAAAGTTTATTTTTACGAAAAAAGAAAATTTGTGAACCGTATAGTCACGAACCGTAAAAACCTAAAATCGAAAAACATGCAAAACGTATTTGTACGGATTGTTTGTTCTGGAACACTCGAACTGTATTTTACTGAAAACCTTATAAACCCGGATTGTATGTTTTCGGGAAAATAAGTGTAGTCATGGACCGTATAATTCCGGAAAACAGGTTTTTTCGATCCGAAATTAAAAACTGGATTTCGCGAAAAAAATATAGGTGGTTACGCGTACTGTTGCCAGTCCCAATCGCTTATTACCAAACCCTGTTCAGACTGTATCATTCTATATTACAAGACACTCATTATCTCGGAAAGAATAACCTTTTTTCAGATTTTTTTTTTTTGACAACTTATGAAAATAATAGCTTTAAGGAGCTTTAACGAGAATATTACCATTATTTTAGTCGCTCTTATTTAATATTTTTGCAGCTGAAATAAATCCTTTTGATTTTCAAACGATCTTGTAATTTTTTTTAATAACAAATATTAAAGCTTGTTGATGCTAGTTTTTTAAATATTTTTTATTTCATCGCCAATCTACTAGCTGATGCCCGTTTAAAATGAGCTATTTAAAGTATTGGGTAGTATCAGTTGAATTTCCTTTCAGAAAAAGAGCTATCATTGTAAATTGGAGTAAAATTGCTGATAAAAAAGTTGTGCGTAAAAAAAAAAGACCATAATACATTTTATTAATACCTATATTTCATACATTTTCCATTTTTCTGAAATTTTATCCCGGTTTTTCGCAGATATTATGAAAAACACTTGAAAAATCAAAATATTACCTCCTTAAAGTAGCATGTAGATAAAATTTCCTTTCAGAAAAGGTGCCCACACTTGATACATCAGAATAAGATTTCTAGTAGAAAAGTTTATACAACAAATCAATAGTTTTCGATTAAAATAGTCCGAGCGAACGATAACTAAAGACCCTAGGTACACCTAAAATGTATTTGTTTTTCCCGGTTTAAGTAAAAGGGAAAAATAAATGTACAACATTTTTTTCGAAACTCGGGTTTGAACTCGCGATTTCTAGGATGACAATTGGTAGTTTTTACCATAAGACTACAGTAGACATACTTTAAAGAAAATAATATATGTTATTTAACATATGTAACATATTATAATATAATACCCGCATAATATCAGAACTAAAGAGCTATAATTTCAAAACTTAATCCGCTCAATTTTAACTTTTCCATCATTCTTAAATCGGCAATGTACATAATATGTTCGAACAAAAAATTGAAAATTAAATTAGATTTTTCCCACCTAATTTTTTTATTCAAAACAATTGTCATTAAAATTTGATATTAGAATTCCTTTATAAAAAAAAAATACTACATTAAACTTAATTTTTGTTTTAACACAAAGTAAGACTTTTAATGAACCTCTTGAAAATTTATTCAACCATTTCTATTAAGTCTAACAATATTATTGTAGAGTACCTACTGAATAAAAATTACGTACAAAACTCAAAATTAAAACGTCTATAAATAGCTTAAAAATGGCTTAATTCTTTTGAAAACTTTACCACATCTAAAGAAGGTAAATTTAAGTTTTCTGTTCAAATTTTAAGTCCATATAAATATGAATATTTTTAACTGAATTTCAACAAATGATAAAATTGTGTGAAAAAAATTTTTTAAACTATTCAAAATTTGAAAAAAAAAATTTGAAACCCGTCTCTAATCCCCTGATTATATTATATAGTGAGTATTTTATATATAGTGTAGTATATTATTATAAAATCAATATAACATCATTAATAGGATTTTTTCCACAGTAAAGTTTAGGTGAGTATGTAAAAAAAATATTTATTACAAACACCTGTAAAATTGGTCTCTTGATGAAAAATTAATTTGGTTTTTTTTTCCCACAGCGACAGAACGGTGAGCGTTTGGGATTGGCAACCCGGACACGGTTTTGTGGAAAAATATTATTCGCCATTGACGCACCATAAATACATGGTAACTGACGTACACTTTGATAGCGATGCGACCATTTTGGCCACGTCGTCTTTAGATGGAAACACCATATTATGCGATGTTGAAGTAAGTCTAAACTTCGGGTAAAAACTCACGTACTTTGAATAATGTCCAAAAATGTCAAGTGATAATTAGGGCCCGGATTTCAATGCATAGTGCTGTTCTATAAAACAATGAATTCCAATTACCTTTATAACTTTTATATACTAGTATACATACACTTTTTTTGTATTTTTTGTAGTTTTTTTTTTACCGTTTCTAAATCAATCCAGTAATATACGTACATTACGGGAAAAATAATTTTGACTTATGCCTATATCTATATAATTAGAAATACTAAATTATAAAAGAAGTATTTTTATAGTTAGATTAGTCATATTAAAAAATATTTATCCAAATTTTCTTTCATAAATTCGAGTAATTATAATATATTTTATATTGTTGGGAAAAGAAATATTGTATTCTACTGTATAACGATAATGTTTTTAAAATATTTGTAATTAAATACCTATTTAATAATTTTAGATTTACTAATATTTAATTTGCAATAATCATAGTGGCTCAGTCAGTTAGGTGTTAGGATAGGTAGGGTCCCGGTTCGATAACCGTCACCTAATTTTTTTTTTAAAATTATTTGTATGATCCCTTTTCGACGTTAATTTCGACGTTTTTGTTGGTTTAACGCCTGATAAATACTGATTAGTATAATTTATACAATTTTGTATATATTTTATAAATACTTTATTGGTAATATTGTTAGATAATGTAGTTATAGCTACCTCAACAATTCAAACTAATCTAAATGGTTAATGGTTAATTTAATTATAATGTATGGTTGTCACTATTCCATATTTTAATTTCGGTATAACCATATATGTAAATAGATTTTTACCCAAACTTTTTAATGTGTATAATATTGATATTTTCAAATTAAAAATTACTAAACTGCAATTATACTTTTCAACCAACTATTTTTGTACGGCTGTATTTATCTTAATTCAAGATAAGATTTATAAATTAAGTCGGTATATTTCTTAAAGGCGGACAAAGAAAAAAATTTCGATAGAGGTATTGAAAACATAAAAATTAATACCGTTAATAAGTAATAACTTTTTGTGTCATTTTTAATTCTACATTTGAAATAATACAAATCCCATATAAGTAATATGTAATATATATAATTTTTAAATATTTTTTTTTTTGTGAGAAGTTGGTGTTAGCCACTGGTACTTATTATTTAAATTATTACCAATAAACCGTGAATGAAATTGAGGTTTCATAAAAATTGTTTTATGAGTTCGAAATTTTGTAAAACCACTATATAACTGAAAGTAGTAATTTTAAAATTACGTATTTTACTAATTTCGTTTTAAAATCAATCGATTTAGAGAAATTTCGCTAAACTTTTAGACCTTATTCTTGGTTGAAAACAAGTACATACATTTTTTATAATAACTCAAAGATTCTTTTACTCAGTGTCTTTACCCCCTCCTTTCTGAAAAAAATGTCTAAATACGTCCCTGTCGCCAAATTGTTTTTCTTTACACATGAAGCGAATTTGTTTTCAATATAAATTTGTTTTGACTCGAATTTTAAATTCACACCGACACGGACAACATTGAAATAGATAATATTATTAGGTATTATCGTTAGATACCTATGTTTTCTCCACGATTTAACCGTTCAACAAAAATTATGAATTATTACAATCACGTTTACGGAATCGTACCATGTATTCCAATTTGTTGCCAATATTAGAGTATTAACATATGTTAACACTGTATTACATTATATTATATTCAACGCATAAGAATTATTATTGGCTTTCTCTACTTCTGATCGATTTTTATATTTATTCTATTTTGTTAATTTAAATAAAAATTCTTGTCGTAGATTTCTACGTCTGAAACAGGTATATTAGCATTAAATACTCGAATAACTATGTAATACTGCAGTACACTATATTTGATAGTCAAAATATTATCCTATAATAACATTGAATTGTGTGTGATTTAATAATATTTTTGATTTCGTGGAATATTTAATATTGCATACTATACCCATGTAGATATATTCGATGATTTGATTTATCATTATCACGTGCAAACAATAAACAATAGTTAAATATGTTCATTTCCATTTTAAATGTGTTAAACTACACTGTGCACAATCGTTCAAATATTATACTATTTTAACACTGCACTCGTGCATATTATGTTTTCATATCATAATATTACAGTACTGTAAACACGTAATTATTATTATTATTATTACAGGTATAAAAAACTTTTTGCCATTGAAGTCATAGTATACAAAATGTTATTTATTGTATACCGTACAATTAACAGTATTATATACCATTTGATGAATCATTACACTAAACTTGTCATAATATGTTGTGTACTATATTATATTATGTATAAGTGCCTAAATAATTTAAAACTAATTATTATCATCAAGTTCCATTAAACCTCGTCCTTGACATTTATTTGTATATCATTTAGTATTATATAGATACGTTTTATGTCCTATACCGCCATACAGGTACAGATTTTAATTGCTTCTTTTTTTTTCTTCATAATAATAAAATGCAGTAGGACTTCGCTAATCGGACTTATATGGGACCAGGGTTTGTCGGATTTTTGGTGTGACCAAAAAAAGAAACGACGTTCAACAATTAATGTTAAAATGTACGCATGTTTAGTGAACGTTTAAAATTTATAAATACGATACCGTAACATTCCGTTACATCGTTTCTATACTTATCAAGTTTTTTTTATTTTTGATTTTTCAATTCATTTTAAAGTCGTATGCTTACATTTTACCACTTTAGACATTGCGAACAAACTACGAATAACATAATGAACGTACAAATAAATAGATAATTAATTTATCTAACGAAAAATTAAGAACTGACGAGTTATAACGGTATTTAAATAGATTAAGTGTTATATTATCGGATATATATATATTGTGAGTTTTTAAACCATATCAGGTATGTTGTATTAATAAAGTACCAATTTTACAAATTACATTTTTCGTGTATAAAAAGAAGAAGGAAGTGTCAGATAGTACCTTAGTAGGTTGTCGAACTAACGGGAATTGAATTAATGAGGTTTTAGTGAGGTTACAGGATGTTGCATTGTTTTTATTATAGATGAATAATTCTAAATGCAATTTTAGATTGTGAGTGGAGCGAGAAATGTATTGGTTTTACATTCATTTTTTTTTTATCTGTAAACAGTTCTGCTATAAATCTTGCTCTGGTTTACAAGTGTAGCACTTTTTCTAAAAGTAAATCAGACTGGAAAGATACTTTAAGGAGGTCATTTTTTGATTTTCCCAGGAGTTTTCCTGATTATAAAAACCAGGAAAGAATATGGGAAAACCGAAAAAATGTAGGAAAAACGGGAAAATAGCTATAATATTAAATAAATATTATTAAAGAACGTATATAGTTCATATGTAATTATTTTACCAAAATATGACATATATATTTTTGACAAAGCAACACTATCAAGTAAACTACGCTCAGAATAGTTTTTTGTTAACAATGGTTAATCGTTTCTTACAGATATATATATTAAATTACCTATAACAATTAGCCATAGCTTATAATTATTTCAAACTGAAAACTCGTATACCTATACTAGCTATTATGCTGCCTAAATACATATAAGAAGGTTAAATAAATTATTGTTGATAATAATAAACGTTATATTTTTGTTTGGATGTTTAATAATGATTGTGTAAAAACAAAAAATGCATATACTACTCGTAAACTATAATGTACTTTCGGAATTATTGGAAAAGAAATACAAATATTATATTCCGTTCACGTGCATTATCGTAAAATTTTGTAAAATACGCACAAAGTATAAAAATTCGCCAATAATTATATTCTTGGCATTACCTAGAGAAACTTACAAAAATTCGACGTTTTTAAATTCAGTGAACATTGTTATGTTTTATTATGTGACTAATAAAAAATAATTCAAATATAAAATATATGACTATAACATATTCTTATAAGTAGTAAAATTATAATTATTATTCATAAATATAACGATAAAGCACTCATATAAAATAGCATGATGCTTAAAATCGTTTTAGTATTGCACAATTTATTTTGAATATGGAATGCTCTCCGCACTACTCAGCTTAGCCTTACGATATTCTTGGTCTTGATTCCTTGCGAATGATCAGAGAAGACAAGATAACTCGCTATAAGTACTTACGTTAAATAACTTGTATTAATACGGTTATACTGATTCTCTGACCTTTTTTTCAGAAGACCATACTATCTATCTTTGCACTTCATTCGTTTAATATCACCTTTTGCCGCACCCTTAAATTTACAAATTAACATTTCTACTGACTAATTATTTCTATCAATAATAAAATACATCATTTTTGTTGAATTTTGCCCAAAAAATAGAGATTATTGCACTGTAAATTGTGTGTGTTAAATACCTATTTGTGTCCTTCCTATACTTTTGTATATTTTTAACTCCCTCTGGACCAAATGAGCTCAAACTGGAGACATTTTTGTGGGGGGTTTTAAATCAAATCATTTATTATTTTTGTTAAAAACGTATTTAGCACTTAAATTGAAAACACTTTTGGTTAATTTAGTGAGGGTTGAATCTCCAAAGCTCCCACCCCTTAGATACGGCCTAGTTTTCAGTTACTCCATAATTCATAATTATATATGAGGCATATAACATGGCTAAACAAAATAATTGTTTTCGAATATAATTATGTCATTAGATTTTGATAATAATTTAATTTCTATTGTATAAATTACAGACGGGACGGATTATACACACGTTCGTCCAAAATAGTTGTGGTGGCATTAGATCGTCGTGTTTCATGGGAAATTATAAATATTTCGTATCCGCCGGTGACGACGGGACAATGTGCGTGTGGGACGTTTTTAGAAGAGTGCTGGTCAGGTTTGTCTTAAAAAAAAAGTATCATATACCTAATTAGTAATAGTTATATTTCGTGGCTAAATTCCGACCGGTATTATATATGTTCGATATATTTTGTGATACTTTGATTGAAAAAAAACGGTATTTTTTAAAATTTTAACGATGTATTGTTAAGACCCGGAGGTTTTTCTTTGTAATATTATATCATATTGTATACGAAGTAAATTTTACTTTCAATAGTTGACGTGAAAAACAAATACAAAAACTGTATACAGTTGTATAATACATAACAACAACGTTCCGAATAAAAAATATCAGTTTATTTTTATAAAGTAAGTTAGGTACCAACATTATTATTGTAAAAATATTAATTTTACAAGTATAATATTGTTTACTGAAAAATATATTAAAAGACTTAATACTAGGTTTAAAAGTAAATAATTTAGGAAAAGAAAAAATAACGGAAAATATAATATAATTAAAACACGCAATTAAAGTATAACAATCTAGGTTATTGATTCAAATCGCGATGCTCTGGTTTCAAAAATGACACCGTTTATGAGTTTTATTTTTAAAATAGTATCGTATATTTAAAAACTTGTTGAATAAGTACCTACTGAATTTAAAATTATATAAGGTATGTATATTGTATAATGATACCAAACTGTTTTGAATTATTAAATTCACCAATGTCGATTTCAATTTTCAAAAATGTAATTAAGTATAAAGTAGCTCGATTAAAAATAGAACAATAGAAAGTTTGAACGTAAATCTTACAATTAATACGGTGCCTACAGTAGGTTTTGATAAATTTCTTACATTTTAGATTTGGAGCGTAGCAAGGGATCTATTGATTTTACTATGATGCGTATTTTTTTATGTCTATAAGCAATTTTTCTACCATAAATCTTGCTCTGATGTTAAGATTGTAGTACCCTTTCTGAAAAGAAATTTGTTCTAGTTTATGTATTAGATAGATCATATTTTGATTTTCCAAGGGGTTTTCAAAATAATTGGGAAAAACTGGAAAGAAAATTATAGGTAAAATGGCAAATATTTACGGCGCATCGTGGCGTTACGGATTTCATTGTTTTTAATCTTTGTAAACTATATTTTTTTCCAGAAATATTGCTCAAATAGAAAAATTACAAGAAATCGATTTCGTTTCTTTTAATATAAAGCCACTTACAATGAAATTTGTTTTTAGCATCCAATGTAGTTTTAAAAATACGAAAAATATGATTTTTTTAAATTACGACGCAACGGTATCATTATTTAAAATTGTTGAGATTATTATTTTTTACCAATAATCTATATCCGAATTTCAAGAATAGCATATTTTCTGAAGGTTTATTCGGCTTAACAAAGCAGAAGATTCGGTTAATTAAAGGTCCTAAAAATATATTTGTAAACACTATTTAATATTGAATTTGATACTTGGTTCACGGTGTCAATACAAATGTTTGTATTATATAGGTAGGTAGGTACCTACCTAATAAAAAAAAAAAAAAACCCCATCAAACTATTAAAATAGAATTCGTGTACACAATGAATAATAAATTAAAAAGAAGTATAAAAGTTTAATAACATAGGTAAATCAAAACACCCTTTTCGGCTAGTATAATAATGTTTAAAATCGATTATATTTGATACTTTTAATATTAAACAATTTTGTTATGTTGTTATGAATGAAAAATTATAATATAAATATTATTAAACATTATTTACATGCATTTAGACATTGATGTCATTTTTAAATAGTTTATTGAAAAATCGATTTTGTCTTTTCCTTGTTTTTACCTGTTACCTATTATGATATTTTGTTTTATCAACATGTTGAAATATGTTATAATGTCTATAGGTGTTCCGACATTTCCTATATATTAAATATATGAATAAGCTATCAGTTTATTGATGTCATATCAATACAAAAATACTATAATATTTTTGTGGTCATGAATATTGGTCTACACTATAATAAAACCAACCATAAAAAGGATTACATCCGCTGGTGGTCAGGATTAGATAGGCCTTCAGTTGTCCCTACCTGTTGTAAGATGTGACTAAAAGGAATCTGTAATTGGATAGCAATTCTTACAGAATTGATTTTAGTAGATGCAGATTATATTTATATAGGTTACTGTGCAAGTAACCTAGTAAAAGTAAAAACAAATACAAAAAATAATAGCCAATAGATATAGAAGCCATATAACAAGAAAAACACCTCATAAACATTTCATAGTAACAGCAATGATCATGAAGCTCTCTCTAAAATTTCCCTAAAGTAAAATAATCCTCTATTCTAGGTGGGGATTACAAGAGAGAAAGGAGTACTTAGTCAAAAGATTTTTTTATATAATTTGGACGAATTTAGAAGTAGGTATATTAAAATACTTAAAAAAAAGAACTAATTGAATGATATATATGTTCGAAAACGAGGATTATTACGAAGGTATGTTAAACTAAACCGGTCGAATTAATTTTTTTGTTTTATTCTTGATTTTTCTACACCACTTGTCAAAAACCTTGGATAAGCTGATTCGTGATTTTTGATTTTTCAACAAAAAAATATTTGAAAGTCTTTAAAACACAAAGTTATTATTTCATCGCCCATCAACCAAAATAAAACTTTCTTTTCTCATATCGTTGAGAATATAAATTATGAAATACGACGTATATTAGGTGATATTTACACAATCAATACTTTTTTAGCCATCCCTTCAAGGCTAAAGAATGTTGGAAAATAAAACTAAAAAATTCCTTCACCGTGTCTCAAATTTCAGTCGTTTAGATGTTAATATTAATAGATATTAATCGGATACGATATTAATATTATCTTTGTTCGATTTAGTTCAGATTTTAGATATAGCGTGACCGATTAACGTTTTCTGAATACACTATTATTAAGTATTGTATTACTGTAATATTATATACATTAATTATAGTCATATTGAGTGGCACACCATTTGTTTTATAAAACTGAACACTTCTTTTCTAGATTTGAAATAATGTCATTTTGTTTTCAAAAATCAAAATTATTAAAATTACATGAACCGATGTCCATAAATAATTGTCTAAATAACTTAAGACCGAGAACGTTATGTTTCTGAAAATTGTTGAAACTGATATACTATAATGCCCTACCTAACACACTCCACCCAATTCATGAAATTATAAATAGCTAGGCCAATGCAGTTTTTAACAAATAATTACCGATGCCAATGGCATGAGCGTACCCAATGGGAAGCAGAGGGGACGCTAAACATTAAACAATAAACATACTAAATAACAACTAAATATATTACAATGCAATAAATATGTTTAAATATGTAATATCTTTTTCCCGAAATTATTTCGTAAAGTATATTATAGTTGTGTAGGATATAATAATTTTTACTTAGTTGAGTTAATAACGCATAGGTGCAACGAAATATTTTATTAGTTATATAAGTTTTCAATTTTAAATATAGTATAGTATAGTAGTGTATTTTAACGCAGCTAATGTGGAATAGGGCTAAAGCCAATTGACCTCTCCTGGATACACTATACTACCCAGAGCATTTAAATAAACGCATTTAAATGAGAAAGATAGTTTGTGTCCAGAAATCTTTTCCTAAATTATAATAATAGAATATTTAACCAAATAGGATAACTATTTTGCTATTTAGCAAGGCGTGTTGAATAGGCAATTTAGTTACATTACCCATTTAAGTATCTGAACAGTGAATACATTATAGTATTATATTATATTAAATTTACACAAATATTTTTGCTTACTTCCATATTTTAATGTTCTTTTAATCGATTCTCAACACTAAGACACGTATACATTACCAGGATAAATAGGTTTTATACAATTTGTTTTATCGAAAATTCGAAAAGTATATTTTTAGATGAAATATTTACATTGCAGTTATTTGAGATTTCGGTATCAAAATTATGTGTAAAGGTACATCATCGTATATGTTATTTGAAAGTCTCACGTATTTTTTTAAAAACTATTGTAAATGTATTGAAAGTTTTGATTAGGTTTTTACCTAATATCTGCAATCTTCTTAAACGTGCTATTGCGTGAAAAATAGTTCAACTTTAATGGAGTTTTTTTATTTTATTTATATTTGCAGGATAATAGTTGGACACGAAGAGGCGACGTCGATGATATGCTGTTCGAAGGACTCGAGAATAATTTTAACGGGTGACACGACGGGAGTAGCCAAAGTATGGTCAGTCACCGAACTTATCGACTCTGCCGCCTTCGATAAGATTACACCTCTGTACGTGGTGTTCGATTGTCATGATATGGGCGTCAATTCCGCTGATATATCGCCCATCACCACAATAACAAGTGCGTAAATGCTGTTGTGTCTCTGGAAAATAATTATAATCTTAAAAAAAAAAAAAAATCTATTAAAAACACGCGAATATTCATATTATCATTATATTATTATTATACTATTTTGGCTTTTTGGATCAAAAGTGGTCACTTAAAAAAAATACTAGGCCATATGGAACTAAAATTATATAAAAATATTTATTTTTTACTGAAATACGCAAAGAAAAAATGAATATTTTTTTTTTTTCATTTTTACCCATAAAACTTAAACATTATGAATTTTCAACATTTCAAACACAAATATTTTTGAGATTTAAGTAAAGTTTTCAAAAGATGTGCATTTATAATAATGCAACAGTAAATTAATGTATTTTTTTATAATTTAATATTATTTAGGGTATTCGCCTGAAAGGTACCTTTCAAGTCATCGATAAGTCTCCAAAAATATAAATTTTCTTCTTTTTTTTATGTGTTTTTTTTTTATCGCCTTATTGTATTGAAGTATTTAATTTCAAACTTGAAAAAAATTATCTATACATATTAGACACTTTTTACGAATTCGTTCCTAGATTAATTAAATTAAAACCTACACCAAAATGTATGGAAAATTCAAAAGGAACTTTGCCTCCTCCTCTAATTTGAGCACTAAATTTGTATAACGAGTGACGATTCGATTGTCATGATAGCCAGGGGAAAGGTGTACACCATGCTGACTTGTGGTAACGACCACTTGGTGAAGATATGGCAACTCACCTTGTGGAAGACGGCCACATGCTCACATCAGTGCACCGTAGAAATGGTCCGGCCGCTTAAGGGTCATTCATCGTCGGTGACCAGTTTGTGCTTTGACGAAGCTGGGAAAATGTTCGCGTCCACTTCCATGGACAAGACTACCAGACTATGGCGAGTAATTGAAAAAATTTTAATTTTTTAAAAAACCGAAATATTTAAATGTTTAAATTCATTAACAAAGTATGCAGGAGGATTTTTTTTATTGTAAACTAGCAATTATTTTGGAGGATTTTAAGTGAATTTGATTTTTGTTTTTTTAATCATTGTAGAATCGTCTAAGCTTTATTTTAAAAAAATATTTTAAATTTTTACCCTTACTCCATATATACCTTAAATAAGTACATACTTTTTTTTTAAAATAGTAACTTACTTTTATGGACACAGATTCGAATAGAGAACATAATTTTTTAAATTTTAGTATGTATAATAATATATCAGATTTACCATTTATGAGTTATAACCATTTAAAGTTTAGACCGGAGGAGTAGGAAAGAGTTATCAATTTATCATTAGGTTTATAATTTATTATCTTTCCCTAATCTTGTGGTTTAACTTTACACGAGTATAACTGATGAACGGTAAATCTGATATTAGTGTTATGCATTCTAAAATTAAAAAAATATATATATATATATATTCGAATCTATGTATTGAAAAGGGGGGTTTCTTTTTTAAAAACAAAAACATATACTTATTTAAGGTATATGGAGTAACGGTAAAAAAATGAAAATAGTTTTAAAATAAAACTTAAATGATTCCATAATGATTAAAAAAAGAACAAAAATCAAATTCACTTAAAATCCTCAGAACTGATGGTTCATGATAAAAAAAAATTATTCCATATTATTATAAAAAATCAGCGTTTAGAAAATTCCTTTTAAAAATTAATGCGTTCCCATTCAAATTCCGGAGTTAATAAAAATTAATGCTTACTATTTCACGTGTATATGCTTTCACGTATTCACCCGAAATTTCACATTAATTTCTATAAAACTGTAAATTTGATAAATCGTTTCTAGTGTACATCCCCGCGATCGTTTCGTCGCCAACATTTTACTGCGATATATTTCGCCGCCAACTTTTCGTCGCGAAATGATTTTTTTTCGTTTAAAACCTAGCGCTGTGCCTTGGTTATTTTTCAACGTACGCTAGTGTGATCTTCATTGATATGTTATGGCGAGATTTTGTCTGGGTGTGGTTTTGTCTGGCAGAATTTTGCCCAGGCGTGATTTTGGCGGCGAGATTTTGTCCGGCGAGATTTTGGCGACGGGATTTTGTCCGGACACTCGTATACATACATGTTAAATTCATGTGTATCAATAATTATACGTGAATACAATTGTTTCATTCGCTTGTATACGGAATCCGTGTTCACGTACATATTAATTCATGTTTTAAATTTAGACCTCTAATAAAAATAATTTATTCTCATTTATCAACATTTTGAATGCATTCTAAGTGTATTGAAAAAAGAATAAATCCTTTTTTGTTTAACTTATCTATTTTAATTGATTACCAAGCATAAAAAAATAGTAAACCCTAAAAATTTACTTTGTTCATTGACTAAACATTTATGCAAATTTTGCATTCACAGTCTAACATAAACTGCATTCTTTAGCATTTACTTTTTTTTAAAAATGAATGTATTTATGAATTCATTGAATGCATTATTTCCAATACACTGATAAAAGTTGGTTGAATACGCTTAAACATTTTTTTTACAAGATGATCGAGCCGAACGACGCAGTTTGCCTGAAAGTATTGGAAGGTCACACCCGTTATGTTAATACCTGCGGATTTTCTCGAGACAATCTACTGTTCGCAACTGGTAAAAAATTTCAATTTGAAAATAGTAAAATATCATATACCTAACTATCTATTCTTTACCTATTCTTATTAATACAATATTGTTATCCATTACGTGTACGAGGTCTGGCTATTAAATAACGAGACTGCTAATGAAAAATGGTTTTATTTTAAAAATTATTCCTCAACCAAATGTTCCCCTTCAATATACTCTCCTCCCCTCTTCACCCACCGTTTCGTTTTTTCCATTGCTCGAGGCAGTGCTGGAAGTCTGTTTTCGTAAGACCATTCAGGAGTTCCGCCGATTTTTGTTTCACCTCTTCCATCGACTCAAACCGGATTCCTTTTAAGGCAGACTTTATCTTCGGAAACAAGTAAAAGTCGCATGGTGCCAAGTCGGGTGAGTAAGACGCGTGTCCGAGTACTGGAGTGCCTTAAGCGGCCAAATAACGCNTCCTGGTGCAAGATCCACGACTTGTTTTTCCACAATATCGACCGTTTCTTACGAACTCATTCGCGCAATGTTGCCAAAACTGTCAAATAGTAATGTTGGTTCACAGTTTGACCCTCTGGAACCCATTCAGTCATCACGATGCCGTTGATATCGAAGAAAACGATCAGCATGGTTTTGAATTTGGATTACGACTGAATTGGATTCCGGTGCACTCTCGACCTTCAGAAAATAATTTATGCCACTCAAAAACACGCGCCCGAGATAGGAAATCCTCACTATAGGCCTCTTTTAACAACTTATAGCACTCAGTTGGAGTTTATATTTAAAATTTTACGTTTATCCGTTGCTCATGGTTTTCGTCACACATCGTTTTCGGCAAGAGAAAAAAACATATTCGTTTCTAAACGCTACAGAAAAAATACTAATGCACTAACAAAAACCCAATTTCGTACTGGCATAATAGACACTTCCAGCTAACCAGCGCTGTATTCGTTTTTCCCCTAATCTTTTTGGAACGCTCTCTGCGCGCGCAGTCTCGTTATTTAATAGCCAAACAACGTAGTTCATATTATTTATGTTGGATTCAATTTTTTTTTTTTAACAAAATGTGAATCTAGAAAATGTGTGTCTTTTACATTAAAATCATGTCACAGGGTCCAATGACAAGTCGGTTATTATATGGGATGTGAAAGGAGAATTAGATTTGTATGCTAAACTGGACGATTCGGAAGTAAGTAATACATACATAAATATGTGGCGTTTGATGAAAATATACTCATATTATATAATTTTTGTTAAATTAAAAAATTGTGTTTTAGGAAATCGAATCTATGGAAAACACGGAAAATGATAGAAGTCCGGTAGAAGTGACACTAAACGAGAAATTGAACAGGTTCACGAACGCGGTAAATTCGTGCGATTTCGGCATCAAATACGAACACCTCGTGGCAGCTGGCAGGTATACAACAATAATGAGTACTGATATTATAAAAGCCGATTTTAAAGGGCCGGGAGGTTTTTAAGAAATTATTAGATATTAGCACTTCCGGGTTTCCAGATAATCAATTTATGCGTTTTGTTTTCATGTGTGTGTGACGTTTAAGCGACAAGGTCATCAGGGTTTGGAATTTTCACGAAAACGGGCGATCCGAAGAGTGCAAAAGTTCGCCGTTGCGGGTTCACAACTACTCGGTGCAACAGATTGTCGTCTCGCCGTGTTCATCGTACATGGCGTCGTGTTCGTTAGACGGGACAACCATTATTTGGGAACTGAACGTAAGTATTGGCCAATGTATATTAGATAACATGATATTGTGTGAAACGTGCAGAATATATATTTAAATCAACCGTATATACATCAAAAACCAGTAAATACTAATACCGTCAAAGAGATTTCAAATTTTTTCTGCTGTTTCTCGAGTCTGAGATGATGAAAAAACTTAAATAAGAGAATTTTAGCCAACAGAAAAAAAATTGAATACAATTAATATATTAAATAAAAAATATTTAAATTTTACTTTAGAATAAATTTACAAGTAGATGGTCTCTTGTTAATATCGTAAGTAATTTGTGTGTAATCATGATATGTATTTAAAAAATATGGCATTCACGTAAAACAGAAAAAAATAGGTACCATTAAATGTTATTTTCAATTTAAAGCACCTACGGAGTATAAATGTGTAGTCGACTACTAGTTACTGCTACTTCACTCATAATTTAACTTACAATGGAACTTCTTCTTTTATTGTCTTAATATCGCCGTATCATATTACAAAAAATGAATTTCACACTTCCCTTTTTCATTACCTATTGTTTTACATCTTCTGTTTTATCATAGAAAACCATTGGTATCACACAACTGGTTAAAATAATGACTGAAAACAAAAATCTAACTAAAAAAAAATAACTATTCACACCCTTCATTTGATAATCACTAGCGAAAAATAAAAATATTGGACGGGACAAATCAATAACCTATATAAGTAACTTGGTTGGCAAATAATATTATTGCCGTATGGCATAGCGAAAAATAAAAATATTGGACGGGACAAATCAATAACCTACATAAATAACTTGGTTGGCAAATAATATTATTGCCGTATGGCATACAAGCCGAACATAATATAAAAACTTATATTTTATTTTATTTTTGGGTGTTTAAAAAATTGTACGACAGACTCTAGAACAAAAAGGTTCGTTGCATGCCGATTACGGAGGAGCCAGGTCCTGTTCGTTTTCCGGGAATTCTAAACTCATTGCAGTCGCCTGTGACAACGAAATGGTTTACGTGTGGGCCGTGAATACCTTGCAGCTTGTTGCGTATGTATAGTAGTATTATAATATGATATAAATATTATAATTTATAATAAAATTGTAATTAGAAATGTTTTGTCATACATGATACTGCCATTATACCTACTGGGAGTATAAAATGTTTAAATTCAACTTTCTTATTTTTCCAAAATGTATAGAATAGCCAATTTTCAATTCTCGTTTTAACAAAGAATTATCAATAAAAGGTGATTTATTAATATTAGCCATATTAATTGTCTATTTCGAAAAAAAATGAGTCTAAATATATATTATATTAAGGAATTTGGATAATTCAGGAAGATATATTTGTTTTTACAATAACTCTTAATTGTAATATTTGAAAAATATTAATAAAAGACAATTTGCACTTGTTTACAATAATATAAATTATAAATAATAATTGTTATGCTTATGACTTATAATAATATTGATTGTACGCAATAATTGTTGTTCTGACACGTCATCGTATTTTTATAAAGATGTCAAAATAATAATTTATTGTTTTAATCATAATTTTGATTTCGGTTGCAGGAAGCTGTCTGGAAACAACGAAGACGTAACTTGCGTATCATTCAGTCCCGATTCACGTTATTTAATGTCCGGTTGCGTGGAAGGACACTTTAGAATTTGGTCAGTGCACCCGAAAAAATGCATAGTGTCCAATACGAGTACAATTATTCGAGATAATGCTCACGAAATCGGTATAACAAGCGCGGATTTTGCATTCAAAAGTAAACGATTAAAAGTTATATATTATAACAATATAATATAATAGGGGTATATAATATAATCAAAATATTATGGATAATATCAATTAGTGAGATCCGATTTTTGTACTTTTCACTTTTAGTTATGTAGAATATTTTCGTAGGTAAAAGGTACTTATATAAAATTACAGTTACTTGAAACGAATGGTTTTAAATCAAAATATCTCTAGTAAAATATATTTCTGGTAAAAAATGTCTTCTGTAAAACATATCTCCAGTGGAAATAATGTCTATACTAATATTTATAAGATATATTTTAATAATAAACAATAAATATATGTACCTATACATAATATAAATTATTTTAAGAAATCTCTCAGTATAAACATTTATACATAAAAAAAAAGACATAATTCGCATGACACATGTGCTACTATTGTAGATGAAATATTGGGAGGTAGGATTTATAAGATAATTCAATGCAATGATACGCATCGATTAATCATTATTAACAAAAAACGATTCCAAGCGGGGTTCTATTATACATGTTTTAAAAGGTTTTTGTAATATTTACGATTTTAATTAAAATTTGATTATACAATTCTTATCACGATGCATAGACCATTGTTATAGGTTTGAAGTTTGGAAGGTAGAATAGAAATTTAATCCATATCTGTACGCAACGATTAACCATGCAAATCCCTTTGACGGTGAACATGTTAAAAAAATACAAAATATACAAATTACAATATTATCACAAAAATAATTATTAAATTAGTTGAAAATTATGCGATTTATGTGATATTTCTATTTTCTATATTTAATAAGTTAATTTTTTTTTTGAGAAAAATTGTTTAAAAACATTTAAACAAATTAAAGATAGTNGTTTAAAAAAATACAAAATATACAAATTACAATATTATCACAAAAATAATTATTAAATTAGTTGAAAATTATGCGATTTATGTGATATTTCTATTTTCTATACTTAATAAGTTAATTTTTTTTTTTGAGAAAAATTGTTTAAAAACATTTAAACAAATTAAAGATAGTACATATTAAATGTGGGCGTTTGAAAGGAAAAATATCTTGATCTAAATTGACATGGGACGCGCTGCAAAAAACCTGCAGGGTATAATAAGGTTACGCTACGGAAAATAGATTTATTTATTTTCATTTTGTTTTTTAGACCCGTCCAAAAAACGATCGTTATTGATGCTAACAGGTGGTAACGACGCAGTTGTAAAAACATGGAAGTTACTAGATGACCGAATCGATTTCAAAATGAAGTTCGTGGGTCACGGCAGTGATATTACGTGCGTAAAATTTCCGCGAAACATTACTACATTTTTGGCGTCTACGTCACTAGACAAGACCGCCAGAATATGGCAAACGGTTGGAACCATATAAAATTTCATTATTTTTACTATTAAGTATAAGTATGGGTACGATTATAATACAATTATGGATCTTTTAAATCTGCATCTAAATCTTCTTCAGTTCTTAATTTTTTAGCAATATAGATAGGAAGTACCATTGATTTTAATCTAATTTTTGCACTACATCCAAACACAGCTTTACTACATTTTATTCCATCATATAAAAATCGATTTTTCATTAATTAGACAAATTTTAGATGTTCGTTCTATTTTAGATTCGGACTGTTGCGAGTGATCTTTTGGTTTTAACACGGTGTGTTTTTATATATATTTTTTTTTAGATGTTGTATCCCTTAACAACTTTTCTACAAGAATTCTTTCTCCAAAGTATCAAGGGTAGCATTTTTTCTAAAAGGTAATTTTATCTAGTGTGTGAATTGAGGAGGTAACTTCTCGATTTTCCCAGTGCTTTTCATAATAATTGGGAAAAATCGGGAATAAAAAGTTAATTTTAAATAGTACTTTGTGGCCAAAAAGAAAAAAAGAACTTATACTGGAGACGAATGTGGCAATTTTTGTAGGTTGGATATATAATTTTATTTAATACATCTTTAACCAATGATAAACTATTGCTTTGATGATAAATGTTTTGAAAGACCATACGTACATGATTTTCGTAAAAATGTAATTTTAAAACTCTTATTAAAAATGAAAAATGCTATATTACACTCATTTTTTTTTCACCACCAAGTACGACTTATAGTTAATCACCTATCAAATTTTCAAGCATTTCTATTTAGTTTCACAATTTTATTCATGGAGTAACCAAATAAAAATTACGTAAAAAACTTACAAAATTGAAATGTTTAAAAATAGCTCAAAAATAACTCAAATGTTTTGAAAATGTTACCACGTCTATGAAAGGTAAATATAAATTTTCTGAGAAAATTTGAAGTCATTGCGAATATTTTTATTGAATTATATTAAAAAAGCAAAATTTAAAATAATTACAGAATTATTTTCATACCTTTTCCCGTTCTTTCTACATATTTTTCGGTTCTATTCAATTATTAAAAAACTGCAAAGAAAATCAAAAACAACTTAGTCACAAACTAAAATTAATAATGCAACAAAAAAGGTCCCTCGTTGTTTTTTACTGGAACAATAATTTAATATAAATTACGTTTTAATTTTTTTTTCCCAATTATTATAAAAACTACTTGAAAAATGATCCGTTGTCAGGAGAAGGCTTATAGCTATTGAAATCTACTTCCTATTGAAAGCAAGCCCCCAAAATTTGGTTTTTAAGTATTTTATTATGAAAATCAAATTATTTTAATTGATTTATGTATAATCTAGGTTACAGTATTAGTCTACCGAAGCCGGATACCTATTTTCCATCTCATTTTTTTTTATCAGTAGCGTCACAGGAATTATCGGGCTGGACAGCTAGTATATATTTTATAATTTATAATTTTCTCTATCATGCATTCTTTCAAAATAACACGAAAAATCCTTTTATAATATATAAAAATGTATTTGATTAGAATGTAAACTTTATTTGAAAGAATGTATTGGAAAATTGGCGAAAACTTGCGTTTGTGGTTAGATATTGATACTAACCTTATCACTCTGCTTATGTATCTACTGTATTGTGGTTATTGTATATCTCTATTAGATCTTTATTGTATCTACATTTTATATGTATACCTATATTCTATATTTCTTTAATAATAAAATATTATCATAAAACGAAACATACAGAGAGATACCAAAAAAAAAAAGTATCCGAAATATTTGTAATAATGCTTATAAAATTCGTATTCAACTTATATACGTATATGTATCTGTATGTTTTTTTTTTATTTTAGAAAACTGGCGATTGTCTTCATGTTATCGATCCTAAAAATGCCATACTTACTTGTTGCTCGTTTTCACCGAATAATAAAATATTGGCCACAGGTATGTAACTATATAAAATAATTTAAATAATTTAATATTGCAATTTACATGATATAGGTGTCCTCAAATGTTTTAATTTTTCTAAAAATGATAAATGAACCTGACTGACTTGCTAACTCTTGATCCAGTATTAAAATTTTCAACGTAGGCCAGTTGTAGATTTGGATTAAGATGTGCCTTACTTTTAAACCTTATTAGGAATGTCGAGTACAAAGTTGAAAGTTGTTATTCCTGTTTTGTTTAAAACAAAATTAATAATAATAAAACCATTTAACTATTTCACTGTTGTTTTAAAATTTGTGTTATATTTATAGGGTCATTAGACAAAGCATTATTCTTGTGGAACTTACCGTTGGATGACAGCGACGAAACGTCAATTAGAAAATCAGTAACTATACCTACTCAGCAACATATTTATTAACTCCCATCATATAGACAGGGGCAAAGTGGAAACTAAATTCAGGTCAGAAAATGTATTAATTTACTTAAATTTAGAAAAATGTTTTCATCAATATGCATTTAAATATAATACTTTATACGAAAATGTAAAAAAAAAAAACTTAATAGGTACTGAAATATGAATATAATATTATGTATCTCGACTTTTTATAAGTTGTCAAATTATACAATTAAGTCAAATATTATATAAAAATATCAAGATGATTGATTGGACATCAAGACATCGGGAAAACTCCAATTTCCAAACTTGCCACTCTGCCCCTGCTTACTGGTGTCTAAAACGCCAAAAAAATGTATTGTTTATTGTGTTCGTCGCTTTGTAGGTATATATATAGTATTTATGGTACCTATCTATGGTTTGATCTAATTTCTATTATATATAGACACTAAGCCTTTTGATTTCCATATAGGCATCGTTGGCAAAATACAAAATGCGATCGGACGGTATTCACGGTAAGTTTTACTATCTCTAAATAGGTTTCGTAATTCATATATCGTAATATAAGTAGTATGCTGTTCATAAAAAAAAGAAAATATCCATCGAGATTTAAAAAACTATGTTACCTATGTGTTTGTGTAGCAGATCATTACCATTCAAAAATCATTCGGATTCTATATGTATTTCTTATAATTACATGATTAATAAAAATGTAATTCTTAAATCATAATTATAATAAATTATTGTCGTTTTTTTTTTTTTTTTATTTTAATTTTTTTAGGTAGAACATTTATTTATATAGGTTTGGTCGATAATTTATCCTAGACTTTATAAAATTTGTTTAGTTTGTAACACGGGGTTTGAAAAAAAAAGAATAATATAATTTTTTGAAAATCGACATTTTCAACCATAATCGTGATATTCTATTGGTTTTACAAGACGATCAATGTATTTGTAATTACTTTTTAGTAATAATTTAATTTTTAATAGAAAATCTAGAGAGCCACGAGTAGGCATATTATATAATCTATAGTAGTGCCTAAAAAACTATATACTTTTCAGTGTTGGGAAAGTTCCTTTCAAAGTTTCCTTCTCACACCTCGTTCCTTTAAGTGATCCTTTTTATTTTATTTTATTTTTTATGAATAACTAATGCAGTTCAAAATAATTTTTTATATTCTCAATTTAAAAATACGAGATGTAGCTATAAAATAACGAGATTTAAATCGGTTAATACAGTGTTGGAAATTCTTTTTTGTAATGCCTTCAATACCTCTGTCGATTTTGTTTTTACAGCTTCGATTGACTCAAAACGTATCTTTTTTAACGCGTGTTTTAATTTTGAAAAGAGCTTAAAATCACATGGAACAAAATTTGGTGAATATGGGAGTTTAGTATCACCGCAGTTCAATTTTCGACCAGAAACTGCTTTAAAGGTAAAGCATTATAAGCCAGCGCGTTGTCTTGATGCAAGATTCACGATTCGTCTTTCCATAATTCAGGCTGCTTTCTTCTTACTCGTTCTCTGAGTGTTTTCTAGACTTGTATATAATAATATCGATGCATAGTTTATTTCTGGGTTACCCATTCAATCATAATTTCACCCTTAATATCAAAAAGTAGCCTGTAATTTTTTCATCATTAGGACCTTCAAAAAAATCGTTTATGTTACTCAAAAACACATGTTCATGATAATATCAGTCAACAAATGCAAACTTTACCTCGCATATCTTCGATTTTCACTAAAAATTTCAATTAAAACGTTGCCCGATTTTTTCGTCGACATAATTTCGACGTATAAACGCGAATAATATTAAGTAGGCATGGGCATAGTTCACTAGGAGGCAAGGTGGGCTACAGCCCCCCCAGAACCTTTCGTAGCCCTAGGTTGATATAGGGTTCATATCCCAATTATACTAATTTCATTTTTAATTGTATTCTTTTTTTTTTGATAAATTATTATTATACATTTGTATTTATTTTTTCAAGATAGTTATTACGATAAATTTTTTACGTGACACATGAATGATAGGTGAATGAAAGAGACCTATCTCAGTCATTAGATTCTGAAAAAATTTTAAATATGTTTTCTAAAAAAAAATAAATTACCGACTACGTTTAATTTAAGTTATTATTATTTATTTCTCTAAAATAAAATGACTTTACCGATTAATTAGTAAGATTAAAAAGAAATATCTTGGGGCAATAGTAGGTATTGGTAATATTTAAGTAGGTACTTAAAGTTTAAATAATGCTTACAGATTAACTATCGAACGGAGACTGACTCAAGTGCAGGTATTTTTTGATGCAGTGATATTCATAGATGATAATTATATCAGAATTATTCCTTTATCTGCTCGTGCCTTATCGTTCGTTTGATGGCTCATTATTTAATAGCCACAAGTCTTCATGTCACTAATTAATTTGCTTTGAAAATATATGCATTAATTATTTATTAGTTACTTCACATTTGTGTAGATATGCCTAATTATCATAAAAAACTAAGTACAGTATGGGTTAATCAAGTCAACTAAAATTGGTAACTATTGTTGACATGCTTAAATCCTAATAAATTAAATTAAGTTCCTACCTTAAAAAATGAAAAAGAAAAAACGTATTATTTAAACGAAAAATGTGCATCAATTTATATAAAATTAATTTATTTCACGGTTATAAAAGTATACAAACGTGCGATTTAAATTATCATTTTATGTACCTTGTGTATGTTAATAAAAATGGAAATAATATATTGTGCCATTGTGGTAATGAATTAAAAATTAAGGAAGTTATATCAACATTAAATCATTTCTAGACAATATTATCACTAAAAAACGTGCGTTTATACCTTTTTCGTTATAGGAAGCACGGAAATTTTCGTTTAAGTTCCTTATAAATAGGAACTCTTTCCCGTCCCTCGTTCCTATATTTGAAAAGTACTGCGTTCCTTCCCAACACTGATACTTTTAGAGAAACCCTTACCTTGCACTCTGTAGTATTTTCATTGATATGAGGGTTAAACTAAAATCAATAAATAGGTACTTGCATTTCAAAATTAAATTTAAAAATGTATATTTCATGCAATAGCTACTCACTACTAATGTATAATGTTTTACCTTGACGGGGTACCTCAGCCTCGCTGAACTTGTACTTCATAGTCGCAATAGACCCATTAGGATCACCTTTTAGTGTCAATCGCAGAATAGCGCACACATTTCCAAAAACCAATACAAATTTTACGGTCATTTTAAACATTGGGATAAACCTACGTAGAATTCAAAAGAACATAAGAAGAGTAGAATTTTTGGTGTGTTTAAACTAGAAATACAGAGATGGACCATGCGGAAAGCAAACTGGAATTAATAAGTAGATACAAAAATATGTCAACGGAAATATTAATCGCATTGAGTAAATTCTAAAACATTATCACCGTTTTATGAAACTGCTATATGAAAAACAGTTACATTCAAATCCACTCCCAAGACACATGAAATGAGGGAAAATTATGTCATTTTAAACAATTTTATAATGGTATAAAAATTGCGAAGAAAAAATGAATCAACGAATGAAGAATCATTTTTTGTTAACAATGGTTATTACTACACACAGATATAAATTAAATAACGCTTTATACCCTTCCTTCTTAACTTTTTACCTGTACAACAGTGACACATCTACCAGCTCTTTTTTCATGTTTATGCTTTACAGACAAAGATAGTCGGGAATTGGAAAAAGCTCTGATGAAGTTATCACCGTCGGTAGACATACCCGATGAATTCGTGTGTCCGATAACTCGACAGGTGTTCAGAGACCCCGTCATATGTGCAGGTACTCCAGTTCGTTACATTTAAGGGTGTTATTTACCGGTGAAGCAAAATTCGCTCAGTCATGTATATTTGAATAGCCATCGAAATACATACACGATTGAGCAAATTTTCTCATATATATATACGCACGATTGCCCAAGATTTTAAATGCAACGTTGCCATGCATAAATGAATATATTATTAAAACATCATAATATATTACAAACCGCGTTCTGTATGAAAACCTTAAAATATACATTTAATACTGTCTTATTAGAAACGCAGTCCAAAACAGAGTTTCTAATGACAATGTAAAAAAGGTGACTTCTACAGAGATAGCACTCATTAAAGCAACTAATAGGGCATATAATAGATATAAATTATGTAAATCCTAAGACAATTTACTCCACTATTTGTTACTAACTGGTAATAGATATCAGGGAAAATCATTATAATATATACGATAATTTAATTTTTTTTATAATTGTATAGCTGGTACATATTTGTTTTTAGTATTAAATTTTACTAACAAACTGATCAATACTGTTGTTTTAAATAACTTTTAATATACATCTATTATAATTGTTTTTTTTTTTTGTTTTGTATTACTATTATTAGTATTAATATTCAACAATGGTTCTCTTTACTTCTTAACTTCTATATTATTAATTTCAAAGTAAGTATTCGAAATAATGATAACAAATTGTCAACTCTAAAAAAAAATTATTATTAATGTTCATAACCCCATGGTCACCTTAAAATGTGTAAAAATAATCATTTATTTCATTTACTGTTGTTATTTCTCACACCGGGGTTGTATAACTAATATGTTAACACGTTAACTAATACGTTATGCCAACGTTGCATTTAAAATCTTGCGCAATCGTGTATATATATATATGAGAAATTGCTCAGTCGTGTATGTATTTCGATAGCTATTAAAATATACACGATTGAGACAATTTTGCTCAATTATGTTGTAGCCGTCATTTATAGGCATGGACCCATTCGTATCCTTCTCCAAATATCCTTTATTAAAACAATATGTATCCGTCTGGAGTCCTTAGACAAGCTAGACATAGCTTTCATAGCTAGAGTCGTAAATCCTGCTCTGTACCCCTATATTTTTCTGTTTTATATTAGTCTGGTCTAAAATTTTAAATGAAAATTAAAGAGTTTAAAAATAAAATTCAATATAATTTGTATGAAAATGAAAAATTCCAAATTTGTATGGTACAAATATTTTAGAATTCTGTAATATTATTTACCACTTAGCATTTTAACAACTTATTATACTTATATTTTTAATCTTATTTCCCAATTTTAAAATATATTTTCAAATAAATTAGTACTTTGATATTCTATTCAGAAATATAATAATATAGGTACCTATCATTATATAATTTATTAAATATAGGACATAGGTACAAATATACATAATATACATACACGTATATTTAATCAATCCTTATAGATAAGTTATTATTTTCGAGAATATTGTTTTCCTGCAATATATTATTTTTTTAACAATATTACAACTGGTCTACTGTGTTATCAATTATTTTTTGAGTTATGTATTCGTTTCGACAGATGGATACACTTATGAAAGGTCAGCAATAGTATCATGGTTCCGGCGGGGCAAAATCACAAGTCCGCTGACTAACGAACCACTACTGTCTAAGTCCATGACGCCGAACGAAGCCCTCAGGGAAGTGGTTGCTGCATTTGTACAACAGGATCGATGAACCAATGCAAATACCTATGTGATACTATGATCACGTTAGAACTTTATACCAATACCATATTTGATAATTATATATTATATTATATGCTATTATTATAATAGTGTACTACTCAGTTACGGCCATGGTCCTTACTATTATTGCTTGAAAATAGCTCTAAAATAAACACAGAACATTGCGTCGTTTGAATTTTTTTTTGATTTAATTAGAGTGTATTAATATTATTGTAATCTATTACAATGGAAAATAAATTATACTATAAGTTTGATCGCGAACAAGAGTAAAATATTTCACACCTATTTTTGACGACCTCGATAAATCTATAGGGCTGGAAAATGTCCTTCGTTTAATCTAAGGTAAATTATATGAAAACCAAACGTTAGTAAATACAGGTATACAAGAAACTTTATAATTTAAATATTAATCAGATTAAACAGTAATGCTAAAAAATTATATTAGATGTTCATAATATTTTTATGGGATCACCTATTTTGGAAATTATTCAAATTTTGGCAACCCACAATAATATCAATGAACTATTTATGTTTGTTGTTTTCTAGATCAGTTATTTATGACAAACATTTAAAAAAAAAGTATATATATTAGTAAGTATATAATTTTAATGTGGAGGATGTAATTGTTTCCTATTTTTCATTATATTTTTTATATCCACTTCAACATTTTTTAGCTAGAGACGCTGTAAGTTTGACTATACCAATTTTCTCCGTAATTGGTTTTGATAGCAACCATTGCTGAAATTTCAACTTCACATTTATATGATGAAATGGATGGAAGTAACATCTTTACAGCTGCTGCATTGGAAACAATTGGATAAGTTTCTTGAACAGACAACCAGGAATGTATTCATTTTTTTCAATTGCAGTTTATTTTAAATAAACTATCTTCGAATAGTTCGATTAATTCTTCTTAAGCTCTAATATTGATAACACATTTATCATGTCATGTTCTTGAAAAGGACTTGAAATCCATTTCATTTGTTGATAATTCTCCATCTTACTCAAAAAATATGAATTAAAATTATCATTCAGTGTACTTAAGTGATTAGAAATAGATGTAATAATGCTACCATCAACTTTTAGTAAATTTTCAATTATGAATTTAAATCACTATATTTGTTTAAAGTACAACTTATAATGAATCTCTTGTTAAATTTTCAAGCATTTCTGTTTAGTCTAACAATTTTATCCACACAGTACCTACCGAATACAAATTATGTATAAAAATTCGCAAAATTAAAATGTTTATAAATAGATCAAAAATTTCTCAAATATTTAAAAAATTTTATCATGTATAGAAAAACCAAATATAAGTTTTTTGTCAACATTTCATGTCTATGAATATTTTAACTATATAACATAAAAAAAGAAAACTTGAAATATTAAAAGAATTGATTTCATAAATTTTCCTGTTCTTTCTACTTATTATTTTTCGGTTTCGCTCAATTATTAAAAAAAACTACAAAGACAATCTAAAAACGTTTTTTTTTTTTTCGGTCACCGACTAGATTAAAAATTTCATAAAAAAGATCTCTGATGTTTTTTTATTGAAACAATGTTTTTGGTAAAAAACGAAAAGTTTAACATTTTTAAATAATTAAATTGTAACACCATAAATTTGTCAGTTTTCATTTTCCTTTTTTTCAGTTTTCTCAAATTATTAATAAATCTACAAACAAAATCAAAAAATGACTCTTTTATTCACTAACTAAATTAAAAATTTAACAAAATATATCTTGTTTTTTTTCCTGTTTGAGCACTATTTTTTATGGAAACAAGCATTGTACATTTATCAGTTTATTTTTTGTAATTTTACTGGTTTTCTGAATTATTACAAAAACTACCCGAAAAATCAAAAACGAAATACTCATTAACTAGAATAAAAACAACAATAAAAGCCTTGTTTTTTTTTTTTTTTTTATTGTCTCAATATTAATAGTAGAAAACATTAGTTGTAACAATTTTCAATAATCAAATTGTTGAGCAGTAATTTGAAAAATTTTATTTTTTGTTTTTTGTGGGGTTCTCTTAATTATTATGAAAAATACTATGGATATTAAAAAATTTACATAAGACTTTATTTAACAGAGGCTATAAAAAAAAACAAGATCTCTTGTCAATTTTTGATTGGAGCAATATTTTTGGTAGAAAACATTAATTGCAAAAATTAAAAATAATGAAATCAGTTATGTTGTGGTGGGCCGTAAGTATTTACCAGTTTTTATTATCATTGTAAAACCAATACATTCCTCGCTTTGCTCAGAAACTAAAACACGTTTTACATGATTAAGACTTTATTTTTATTTTTTATCAACCTTGAGAAATCTTGTACATAGAGCTGTTTTTTTGATATTTGATCACTAAACAAGACTGTGGTTTATATTGATATAATATTATGTCGTTATGTGGTCGATCTAATCTGCTTATTATTACGTCCGTATTACATGATTGAAATAAACTAAATAGTTTTCAAGTATGGTATAACAACTAGTAATACATTTTTTATAAACCATTAAAATAATTTTATTTTTGTTTTTTTTTTTTGGTAAATTTGAATATACAATTTTAAATAAATTGATAGAAAAAGATCTGAGATGGTTTTGACATGTTATAAGGAGAAAGGAATCAGAAGCAGTAACAATTGTAATGAAAATAAATGTACGAGGAAAGATGGGAAGAGGAAGACCAAAAAAGTTGTTGGATGCGATTGAGAATGGTATAAGAATGTTGGGAATATTCAAGTAAGATATGAGTGATAGACTAGTGGAAATTGAGGAAAAGGGGGGCTGACCCCTAAAAGTTGTAATGAAAGTGAAGCAGACTATCATGAACAAGAGAAAAATATTTCTTATTTATTTTACGGCATCTGATAAATCTATAGGGATAAAAAAATGTTCCTTGTCCAATTGAAAGCAATTTCCGTCAAAACCAGACGTTAATTAATACAAGTACATACTAGAGCCTTTAAAATTTAAATATCAATTGGATTGAACTGTAATGCCAAACAAATTACATATTATTTGTCATTATGTAAGTAACAATGTACTTAGAAGAATCATCTAGTTGTTTCATAAAATAATTAGTAATTATAAATATAAGTATTGACTTGAAAGGGAATAGGATAATATTATGGAAATCAGTAACATTAATTTAAATCTAGTTGATGACAGTAATCCAATTAGTATTACTCTTATTTTTGTGCATAACATGAATAGGTAGGCCAGTCTACTAACAAATTAAAAAACAAACAATATTTTGTTGGTAATCAAAAGATTGGATTATATTACTAAGGTTATAGTATTATATATAACTATTTAAAAAAGAATTCTTACAAAATTGTTTTTAACAGTTACAAATGATTGAAGGTATTATAAAATCAAACAAGCTACTTATGTAATTTAGTTATAATAATTAATAATAATAATAATAAAACCGTCTGCAAAAACATTTTACGATCAGGTACAGAATTACTTATTTATAAATTGGAATTAATTGTCAAAATTAAAATATTTAAACTACTTAATAGTTTATATGCAAATAAGTAACTACTAAAATGGTTCAAAAAACATATAAAACTATTTGTATCATTATAAACTAGATCGATAGCATGTAAAGGATTTAATATATATAATTAAATAGTTTAATATGACACACATTTTAAAAATTTCCATTATTCTAAATACATATTATAGAACTAAATTTATGCAAAAAAAAATTTTGCTAATCGATCAAATTAAAAATATACTACGTATAAGCAAAATATATTTACAGTTTCCAAAGTTACTTAAATCGTTCCAGTGGTAATTCACTTGATCCCGAGTTGAGATAAACTCTCAGCTACGTGCGAACTGTCCACAGACATCTGCAAAGCTCCATTGTTTCTAGACTCTCGATTACATTCTTTTTTATGAACAAACCAATGGATGCGCTGACACTCACGGTTACAATATTGCACTGCTTTACATTTGGCACATTTTTTGGAAGCATTGTTTTCTGCACATGTACCACATACACGTTCTTCGCCAAACGAATCAACACCCACACAACGTCTATTACCAATCATAACTAGTATAACGTTGAGAGCTGACATACTATCAATACCTCGAGTTAGACTAGCAACCATCTAGAAACAATTTTTTTTTATTATTATTATTATTTATTTTGATTAATGAATTAATGATATAATTAATCATTATTAATTAATCATGTGTATATTATAAAATTATAATTTTTTAAATTATTTATCCAAAAAAGTTTATTTTGCTTTGCTCAGAATTTTATCATTCGTTTGGAAATTAAAATCATTTTGATAACATATTAATATAATAAGTGACAAAGAATTTTGGTGATTAAAATATTGTTATAATTTTTTATTACTATCAAACACTAATATGATAATACTGAAATGTACGAATTAAATTTTTTTGAATATTTATACTAAAATAATATTAACAAAGTACTTAACAAAATTGATTGTTAAAATGTAAGCATCATTCTCCAAATTGTTTAGGAAAACTAAAAAACGTAATTTTATCAGTTAACAATCGATGCCACTTACTGCTTTTAACAGTGCTGACAAAACCACTAACGAAAGTGAAATTGATGTAACCACCAAACCATGACGCTCAGGTTAAAGTTGATTACTGAATGTTGCTTATGTTTTTAGAAATTGGCCCTTACACCCGAATATTTTATATTTTATAAGCATTGATTTCTGGTTGTAAAAAAAAAAAATATTGATGTTTAGGTTTTACAATTGATGTGTAATTTAGGATTGTTTAGGACAATATGCAAAAAATAAATTTTGAAAAAAAATGATGTCTTATAACTTTTTGCCTTCTAATAATTAAATTAACAATTATTCGTCAAAACTATACATTTTTTATAGTTTAGTATTGCCCTTTGGCGTTATCTAGTAGTAATATTAAATTTAATATTACTTAAAATTTATAATTTTAAAAATACTATGGGGTTTTTTCCCCCATCAACAAATACAACATAATGGCTGGCTAATCAAATAATTTACCTATTTGTTTTTTTTTCACATTAAAATTACACTGGGAAATAACTTAATATTAGAACAGGTCAACTAAACTCTGCCCCAAGTAAGTTCATAATATTCAGAGCTTATTTAAACAATTTTAAAAGGATTTTAATTATAATTTAAGTCATTTATTAATGTTGGAAAATTGTTTTTACCTGTCTGAAAATTGTACAATCCCGATATGGAAACATTCTAATGCAATCCTTTAAAAACTGTTCTAAATAATTTTTCTCACTCTTCAATACTTTCTTAATGAAGAATTCTTTGGAATCCGACTGCTTTTCACTTTTATAATAGAACAGAAAAAAAATATATTACATATATATTAGGTTTAGGTAGGTACCTATCTTAGAAAAATTAAAAAATGTATTTACTTATAATATTTAGCAATTTCGATAAGGATACAGGATAAATAATGAAACTTGAAAGCCATAACTTCATTTGCCTCCAACTGTTTTTGAATTTCTCGTTCAGACAAGGAATGCAATACTTTGTACACTTTTGTTGGATTATCCTCAACCAGGAAAACAGGAGGTATGTCCAGGGCCACTTTTACTGGATGGATGTTAGTCTGCGTAATAATGATTAAATTATAACACAATATAAATATTTTAAATATTTTATATTCAACTAATATTGAAGGTGCACATTATCGGTAATAAAAAATACCTACCATCATAATAAATTTATGAATAGGTTGAACCAATTCGACACTAATTACTGGATCGCTGTGAACGGATTCTGGTACTGCGAAGCACGAGACTTCTTCTACAGGTACATAATTACTGATCACTCCTACACAATTATGATTGCCTGAGAAAAACAAAAATTATAATAATAATCGAGAGGTATATATACCTCTTGTATATATACTTCTCTGGTATTATTATTAATATTATTGGTATTATTATTAATATTATTGGTAATATTATTATAATAATAATCAATACGAGGTGTTTGTTTAGCATTTCGTTTCATAATTAAATTACAAACCTACAAAAGCACCCATTTGAGATGCGGTACGTCCTACGCTATTAGCTAGTTCGCTTTTGGCACCAGCAGCCAACAATAAGCTGCACACTCTGGGGTTCCCGCTGAGGGCTCCAAAATGTAACGCGGAATACTGGTACTTGTGTTTTCCCGAATTGACGTCGGCACCCTGCAAGCAGCAACAAAACATAAAATAACAAAAACATAAACATACAACCAACAATACATTGTTTCGAAGAAAAAAACTTACACGGGCTAACAGCCAGCGAACTATCTGCTCGTTGCCTTTATACGATGCGTGTTGGAGCGGCGTCATGCCATGTTCATCCAGTATGTCCGGGCTCAGATCAATATTTTTGGCGTAGATTTTCTGCAGACCATCGAAATCATTGTTGAATATATTTGTGAAAATTTCACGGGTCACCTCCTGCGTATCTTCTGCGGTTGCCATTTCAGTTAATTGTAAACGGGATATTTGTGCTCAAATGAGCAGATTCTCAATGGGTAGTTTCGAAAAGGTGACAACGGACGACAATAGTGTGTACACAGAATAGATAAAATGGTGTATCTTTGAGCAGATAATAACAACGAAGCCGTTGTCGTTTATATTATGGAATTATGTAAACAAATCATGTACCAATGTACCGCCGTGGTGATAAAAACTCGTGTTATCACGGCACGAAGGTGGATGGTTGCTGGTCCGACACTGGCTTATCGTTTTGGCAGTTGGCTACACTAACCGCTCCACGCTACAATAGTTTCTTTGAGTCAATTTGTTCGCATTTTAAATTTTTACCTACCTATTGTTTAACTTAAAAATCACTAACTCGTGTTTGGTTAACCTTAATATTATTTTCATTAACTCACGAATTAAGATATAGGTAATACATAGATGCATATTAGCTTAATTCGTGCTCGCCATTTTTAATATTATGGAAATTGTATGATAACAAATTAACACGGTGGTGAAAGTACTTATACCTACTTAATATTCTACGTGCTTTACATCGGGTATTTTATATTTTTCGAATCAAATAAAATCAAATATAGTGCTACGACTTTCTTACTCACAAATTAGACATTATCTTTTACTGAAAATAATTCTAAAAGTTACAGTAATTTTCGTAAGAATATTGTGAATTTTTAGTTATAATTTTTTAAATAAATAAAATATGTAATACTGTATTATCGTGTTAGTGGCATAAGATGTTATGAACGGACATCGGGCAATAATAATATATTATGACATGTAAATTTGTTTTCTGTCTTAGATTAAAAGCGTGGCGAGGAATCTGTTGGTTTGACTATAATGTGTGTGTTTTAGATTTTGAGTATAGCGAAGAATGTATTGGTTTTACAATGATGTTTATTTTTTTTATCTGTTAACTACTTTTCTACCATAAATATTGCTCCAATTTACAAGTGTAACATTTTCTCTGAAAGGAAATACAACTAGGATGATACTTTAAGAAGGTTATTTTTTGATTTTCCTTGGATTCAATATATTGGAAAAACTGGAAAACAACGGAGGGAGAACGGGAAAATAGGTACAGTATTAAACAAATATTATTGAAGAAAATGTTTAATGCATATATAATTATTTTATCATAATATGACAAATACATTGTTGATAAAGCAACACTATCAACTGAACTCCGTTTAGAATCGTTTTTTCGTTAGCAGTGATTTATCGCTGATTACAGATATCAGTTTGGTAGGTAGCATTTAAATGGTTTTAAGGATTGTTAGAGCTTTCGCTTAAATGGAGGATAATTTTTCGATAAATGCAATTTGGATTTGTGTATATTAAGTAGAGGTATGTTTAATATAATAATTGTATAGTCATAAATAAAAAGTAAATATTGGAATATTTTGTGAGTTTGTTATTAAATATATTGAATGGTTTTAACATAAAAACATTTTTACAGAGTTTGCATAGGTATCATTTTGTTTCCATTCTGATTTTGCGGTTATACAACTTTCTGCATCGGTAGAAACGTCGTCGATTTAAAAATCAAGATTTATAAAAAAATTCCATGTAAAATTGAATGCAAGTAAAACTTATATGTGTAGAACGAATATAGATATGTGAAACAGATAAAGCGCCTAAATATGATACGAAAACTAATTTGTAGATGATTTTACTAATCTTTAAGTCAGTAAAAGTAAATTTGTTTTAATTGTATCTAATTAGTATTTAAATAATGTGGAGCCGTTCGATTAAATAAATGTGTTGTTAACTTTTAAATCAGTTTAATAATTCAGAAATAATATAATTTTTATTTAGTAAATTTAAATAAAACAATTACTAATATATCAAGGTGGGTACCTAATATATATGTAAGCCTAGGTATAAATTGTATTAAGAGAAATAACGCGACAGTTATTCCTCTATGATCACGTTGCAAAAACGGCGATAAAAAGTTCAAGTGATGAGGACATCGGAATATTTAAGTTTATATCGTTGCACAAAAACACCTAGTTTCTTCACCGGTGTTCTCTTCCCTGTTCTCCGCCCAATATCATAAACCCACGCAGTACCAAATTATAGGAGCCTAAAATGTATAGATAGCAGGATAAACCGAAAGAAAAAAAAAAAAAATAACTACAAAACGTTTATTTCACACAAAATACAATTTGTAAATAGGCATACGCCTACATCAATAAAACACAATTAATCATATAATTATATTAACCTTATTAACAATAATTTCTATACGTTTTTAATATAGTAACGCCTATACACAATATAGACAGTAATTTCCGAATAAAATATTATTATATATAATATAATAATTATATCATTTTGAATACACAAACGTTATAAAATACTGAAAACAATTATATTCTTAATAAATTAATAAATAAACTACATACCTACGTCGTTATTATATTTAATTATCCTTACCGCTACTAAATATTAGGTAATGTATTGTGTTTTACGTTTTATTTGTAATAGTATTTGTTTTTTTTTTTTTGTTTTTTTTTTTCTGTTTTAGGTACGCGTAAGAATAATGTTATAAAAATCGAAAAACTTGTTGTACCTGTAGTATAATAAACGGCGCCCGATGAGAAAATTCCCCGATTTTAACCGATTAGCGAGTTATCTACAAGTTCTATAGTTAGATAATATCATAATAACTAATGAGGAAAAAAATACAGAGACTATTGTTATAGAAAAAAAAAAAAAAAAAAAGAGATAACATTAATATTATAATATTATTATAAAAATAAACTTTGATAAAACTTTTGCGATTCGTGCGAGACAAAACAATTATATTAATGGTCTTGAGTCAACATTATAAAATACAAATTTACATGCGTTTAAACCAGATTATTAGCATTATCTGTGGAGTAATAAAGGTGTACGAATGAGATTTTTGTTAATTTCAGATTTGAACAACGTGTTATTCCAATGGATTATAAAAATGAAAAAGGTCGCATTATAATTTTTTTATCTATCTATTTCAAATTTGTCACCACTCGTAAGTATAAAAGTGTACTCGTATAGTAATAGTAATTTTTATTATATTTATTTGTTTGTATTAATTTTTACTTTGTGTTAATGTTTGTTTTAATTTTCAAATCATATTACGAACGCGAGTAATTCCACATTTTTTTAAAATTTTAAATTGGGGGGGGAGGTTAAATAATTATTTATAACTGTTTGAGAGGTACCTATTTTTGAAAGTTATTGTCTGTATTATTTGAATCGTTTATCGTTTGATTGTAATTAATACAAATAAGTTACATAATTCTAGCGAGAATTGTATCCGATAAAATTTCAAGTTATTATATTTTTGCTTGACATTTTTTTTTTTTGTGTATCTAAACGCGTTTAATTTTTTTCGTAGAAAATTAAAATTACAAAATAATAAAAATACAATTTTTGAAATTTATGAAATAAATCGGCCGACGTCGGTCGGATGGATAATACATAATATTATTGAGCGTTTTCAAATAATATATCTAAGTACCTAAATTTATACTATACCTATATTTATATAGATTATCGAGTATCTACGCCTACGATTAATACCGTAAATTTATTTTTGATATATCTAACGTGATAAAAAAATAATACCGCACTATTATTATGTATAACATATGCAGATAACTACATGGTATTTACACAACGATAATAATAATAATAATTTTTTCGGCATATCGTTATAATATATTCAATATTGTGCCGTACTTCCGTAGTATCTATAGATACGTCCTAAACGCGTTGTTCCGTCGACGTGTTTGTCAAAATACGAAAACTTAAACCTAACATAATGGCGGCGGTTACGACGAGATCGAATTTTGCCGGATCGTGAACACGCTGGAAAGAGGCGCCGGCTGCGCATCGTTTGGCAACGTCGTCTGTCCGGCGTGCTTGCCGTCGGTAACGTACCGATTTTTATCCCTCGTACATATCGATTTGACTTTGATGCTCATCGGATGCGACAGGTCTTCGTTGGCCATCTCTTCTTTACTCCAAAAGTCTGTAAAATACAACAATTGCGTCCAATAAGTTCAAATTTAGAGACTAAAATTGTGTGTAATACGATACACTTTGTGTAATACGAAATGTTAAATGTGCAGTACGGAATAAAAAAGTTGTACATAAGCTATATTATTATGGTATTTATTTTTATTCGTTTTTTATGTCACATATTTTTGCAATAATTTTAATACTGGAGAAAAATAATTCCAAAATGTATGTTTCTTAAAATTTTAAATAACAAATTAACTCGTAAAACATCGACAGTTATCACATATTGCTTCAAAGATGATGAATATCGTATACTCTATACTTATATATACTAATTTAGTCCGTCTGATAAAATCTAATATTATATCTTTAAGGTAGGTACTTTATTAATTTATAATTAAAAAAAAAAAAAATAAAAAAAAATAGCTATTTGTCCTTTTATTATGATAATTACTACATAAAGGAAAATGTTAATTGAGAATAATTTGCAAGCGATTATTTGTTCTTTGATATACTTGATCAAAATTTCCTTCCCACTTCTCATCAAAAACTTAAATGATTCCATTGCGAGGGGAGAGGGTGATGATACTTATGATATAGTATGGTTTGATATAAAGAATGCAGGAAGAAAAAGTACGAGGGTTGTCCCAAAAGTAATGCACAATTTGCTCTGAATAAATAATTTTTTATTTCAAACTAAATACAATATTATAGACCTTCGATATAATCTCCCTGCTTGTCTATACACGATTGCCATCGTTTCGGGAGCGCTTGAATGCCGCATAGGACGCCATCTTTGTTGAGTTCACGGATCCTTCGGCTCACTTCTTCATTTAGTATAACTAAGTTGGGAAAACGGATCCTTCTAAGTGGTTCCTTCAGTTTTTGAAATAAATCAAAGTCCGGGGTACTTAAATCCGGCGAATACGGTGGGTGTTTGAGGCGTTCCCATCCATATTTCTCCAAAAGAGCGACGACTGGTGCTCCGATATGCGGCCGCGCATTACCGTGCAGTATGGACACACCATTTTGTAACATTCCTGGTCGCTTTTTACGGATTTCTGGTCGCAATTTTTTGGCAAGGAATGTTTTGTAGTAATCTCCGGTTACACTAATGCCAATTGGAACTCGATCAGTGACAATTATCCCAAGTTTATCGTAAGCAAAAATCATCATTTGTTTCACCTTTGTTTGCTGGCGACGAACTTTTTTTGCTCTTGGTGATGTTATTCCCTTCCAAATATTGCTTTGAGATTTTAATTCCGGCTCAAAATCACGGATCCAAGTCTCATCTATTGCAATTATACGATCAAGAAACGTTTCTTTTTCATTTTCGTAGCGAGAAAGGAGTTCACGGCAGATGTCTTTGCGTGTATCCTTCTGTTCCGGTGACAGAAAATGAGGCACCCAACGTGCTGCAATCTTTCGTTTCTATAGAATTTCCGTTAAAATGCGGCGAACACTTGATTTTGAAATACCTGTTTCATTCTCTATCTCTCTCACCGTTATTCGTCGGTCTTCATCGAGTAGAGTTGCGAGAATAGCCGCGTTAGTGTTGTCTTGAGTAACCGTAGAGGGTCGGCCAGAGCGAGGGTTGTTATCAATACTTATACGACCATCACGTCGTCTTATGCCATCTTTGCACCGTACTACGATCCACAGTATCCGTTCCACACACTTCATTTAACGCGGCATGAATTTCAGGCACTGTTTTACCACGAATCGTTTCGATTTTAATGTATGCGCGTTGCTCAAAAACAGAAATGTGAGCCGACGAATTGTTCTCACTTTCGTTATCGCTCTCACACATCATCATACTTCACTAAAACAACTAAAACTGAAAACGCACGTGTTCGTTAGACTTCAAGCTACAAACTGATACTAAAATAAGCTGATAATATCACATTGCAAGACAGCTAGAGCGCGCTGTGCATTACTTTTGGGACAACCCTCGTATATATTTTAGTCTCTAAGTTCAATAAGTTTAATAGGTGAAGTATAAGTTGTATAGCAGAAGTGTGTACAACACAACCGAGCAGTGGCGAATATCTGGGTGGTTAGGACCGGTGTATCGCCCTTTCCCCTAGGGGATATCACTGACCAGAATTTATTGTTATAGTTACATTGGTAAATAAACAAATATTTTAAATATGAAATACCTACACGTAAACTGTTGAAATATGAAGGTATTTTAATAGGATTGTATTTAGACATTTTCAATGGGAGCGGTTATATGGACACATTTTTCATTTAAAACCATCAAAATTTGCATATCTCTTATACTGATTAGACTCTAATCATTGTTGTAACCAATTTTCAACAAGGCCGGAAGTGTTAAATCCCATGACATCTCGTAGATTTTAAATCCTCCCCTCTCAAAACTGGGATAAAACCGCCTCTGAGACCGTGGCAGACTCAAAATTGGTTAAATTATTCAAAATTGGTGTACGGAAAAAAGTTTCCCGACATTAATTTAACAAGAAAAAAAAAATAGATATTTTCATTATCGTTGCGAAACATTATTTGATGAAAATCTTGGCATTTTGACCGTGGCGGTTTTTTTTTCCAACCGAAAACGGACGGACGAAGTTCCGGAACAATACGCCACGGTCTACGTGCGTGATTGTTAACCTACCAATAAAATTGTACGACGTGCTCGGATTTCTTAATTGCGGTAATAATAATGAACACGAAATATGAAAAAGTATTATTTTATTTGTTCTCCTTATTATTGTTGATAACCATATTATAGATTTGACGAAAATTGCAAACTGGAACGGGAAACCCCGGATTTATTTTTGAATCGTGATTAAACGTTTAGAATATTTCATCCATTCGAAAAATATACCTATTCAAATAAATACATTTACAGCATTTTTGATAAAAAAAAAACATGCCGTTTTTTTTGGTATCGATGAAGAGATCGACAGCTTTGCGAAGTAATTACGCCCATAACCAAAATTACGATTTTGATCATTCCCCCCCCCCCCCNCCCCCCAAAAAAAAAAACAATTATTTAACAACTAAAAATAGGCATCTATCTCAGTAGAAGAATATTATTTCTTGACGAACCGAGTTTATGTGTTATAAATATGAAATTGAAAAACGAGTTATATATTAATGATTACTGATATTAAGAATATTAAAATATAGGAAAGATCTTTACTATGTTATTACATGAAGTTGAAACTTAGACATCACGGAGACACCAAGCAGGGAAATTGAGGCTATAGAAATGTTGTTCAGTGGTTGTACCGTCGAATTCTAAATATCCCACGGATATCCAGCTCAAGTGTACTTCAAATAATGCGATAGGAAAAATAATTGTTGATAAGTTATCAGGCAATTATTTTTAGTTATCAGCGACAACTATAAAATCTCGGAAACTAGAATAGTAATAATACCTTATAATGAGGTCGCATAATGAGAAATTACCAGACATATCATGCATTGGTGAAATGAATAATATTTCAAGGGAAAGGAAACGTCGGAGAGATATTGACATAATATGATTATTGAAAAAACTCCGGGATCGGTTTGGCGTAAAGTCAAGTTATTTATTTCGAACATCATTCAAAAAGAAAAATATTTTTCCGTGATTTCCAACATCCGAAATGCGGATAGTAATTTCATGAATAATAATAATAGTAAAAAGAAATATTAAAAAAATTTGAAATTGCGCGTGTCTGGCCGTAAATCCACGCACGAGTAGCGTGTCCGACCGAAAATCGTTGTGCTGGTCGCGTATCGGAATACTGTCGAGGATTGGTGCGGTTTTGGGAAACAATGGATTTGACGGTTCCGCGATAAGCTCGACGAGGCGCGAACGTTTCTATCGCGAGCCCAAGCCGGCAGTGCGTGTGTCGAACGCCGCACCGCTGCATCGGTTATCATTCGCCTCTCCGTGGCCGAGTCCGGACGATTCAACGGGTAAGTCTGACGTTATCGCTAACGCTTTTGTTTAACGGCAAGTATGACCGTTGGGATAACGGTTTTCGGCGGTGATGTGGTAACATTCGTTTTATGGCTTTGGGGTTTTTGGTAGTGTTTTACTAATATTGTTACGTTACTCGAGTCGTTCGAGAAATTTCTTCGCTATACTAAAAATAATTGAAATCTAAAAACATATAATGTCGTATACGCATAATCGTTATGGCGCACAAAACTGATATGCATACTTTTATAACTCGTTAGATTTTAGTCAGGTAGGTTACGGTATAAATTTAACGCCTATTAAAAATCTTCTTCAATGTATCAATAAACAATATTATAATTTACCTTAACGTCGATTTTGTTTTTTCATTGTACTTCGGTTAGAAACAACCACAGAGATCTGACATTTTCACCGAATAAAGGAACATTTCTACACGTGATATAATTTTCAAAATATTCTGACGATTCTTGAACTATTTATAGTAATTTGAAATTTTCGTTTTAGTTTTTATTTGGTTTCGTGATGGGAATAAAATTGTTAAGCCCGGGAAAAATGCTCGAAAATTTAACATAAGGTGCATCATCAATTGTACTAAGTATGTTTTAGTAGTTGAGTAATGTTTTCTTATAAGTTAAGTTGAAATTCGTAAAAATCGTGACATTTCAAAACATGATTAGCTTAATTCCGCCCATAATCGTTTTTCGTTAGCAATGGTATACCGTTGGGCACAGATTAATTAAATTATCTATTCAATATATCCTACCTTCCCAACTTCTCACCTACAACAGTGGCACACCCAACTCAGTTTTCATATTAAAGGCCTAAAGTCGAGTCACGAATATATTTTTAGTTTGATAAAAAATATTGTTGTAAACGTTTCTGAACAATGACGTCAGCCATATATATATATATATAATATATACATTATAGATAGATAATAAAATATATAATATGAACGATATCAGTTTTTTTCTTTGCTATCAACATATTTTACTTTGGGAAAAATAAAAAAAAAATATATTACAGTAGAACCTCGACTATCCGAACATCCGTTATACGAACCCTCTTTTATCCGAACGTCAATGCGTAAAATATCACGACGCACACGTCCGGTCGCAGTTTATTATAAGTGCTTATGTACACGCACGTAATTTAATAATGTTTATCTTAATATAATATGTAATAATAGTTCCGTATTCATTATACGAAATAATATTATTTTTTTAATTTTTATTATTCAAACTTTCGCTTATCCGAACTCGGCGTGGTCCCAATTAGTTCGTATAATCGAGGTTCTACTGTACTCGTATACAAATTATCAATAGCAAAAGAATTTCAATAATTTCGATAATGAAAAAAATATTACCTATTAAATAATTACCTACCAAACAAATCCAAATAATGTGGAATAGTATCTATCATATACTATTTTTTCTTATCTACTGCGATAGACTTTTTTCGATTTCATTTGAATTATACGATAAATCATGGACACAAAATATTGATAATAGTAGCTATCTAACTAATACCTGCACGCAATGTAACAAAACTAAGAAAAAATTAAAAAACAGAATTCCCTGTTTAATTGTCGACGGCTGATAAAAGATCACTTTATTTTATGACGCAATGTTTAGCGTATTTTTACTGTTTTATTTTAGACACGTATTTACTACCTTACATTACAATATTGTCATCGTATTCTTTTCAATTATCAAACATTTTTTTACCTACCTATTTCGAATAGATAACGTAAAAGTTAATAAAACAAAAAAATTATTATTGGTACCTATATACCGTACGGAAATATGCGATAAAATCGCTGTCATCACGCAGCACGTACAATTTTAAAAGACGAGTAATAATATGAAAATCGCAATATTATTGAATATCATTAGACATTTACGAAAATACTATGAATTCAGCGATAATATTATTATTATTACCTAACTAATTATCATAATTTATCATTGTATATAAAATCAGTGTCGTACCCAGAAATTTTCCATGGGAGTGGATATAGCATATAATAATTCATGAATAAATCGTAAAATGTTCTGTAGTTATACTTAATACTACAAAGATTATTTAAAAACCTGTTTAAAATGTCTATTTTTATTGAATTATTAATTAAGCTTTTTCCTTGTAATTTGGCTAAAATTTCAAAATAAAATGACTAAATAAATACTCGTATTTGTAATATTTTTAAGTCAATGGAGAGGAAGGATAAAAATTCAATTCATCCCGCCATGCACATGCTACTGTACGAAATTTGTAGAGAAACTAATTTCAATTTTTGTCGTTCACAAGATGGAACGAATGTGCTCGAAAACGTCTTTAAGTACACAGCAATCGATCAGTGAAATGGATTTTTCGGATAAATCCGGGACAATATTGTTCAACAACCAAAATGGGTAAGCACCGAATTCGATAGATACAAAATTAACAATAGAGAAAAGAAAAACATTATCGTGTAAATATTATAAACAATGTTTATTTGTATTTTTTTTTATACTGTGTACAAAATGTCTACCAGAAATCTTACTTTAATTTTAAAGCGTAGTATCTTTTTTGAAAGGAAATTTTATCTATTTGGTACTTTGCAGAGGTCGTTTTTTGATTTCCAAGTGGTTTTCATAATAATTTGGAAATAATTAGGAAAAACGGGAAAATTTACGAATATAATACTTTTATTATTTTCAATTTTGTATTTTTGTTGAGATTAAGTTAAAAATGTTCATAGATACTTAAAATTTAAACAAAAACTTATATTTGTCTTTTCTAGACGTGGTATAATTTTGAAAACATTTGAGCCATTTTTGAGATATTTATAGACATTTTAATTTTTCGAGTTTTTTACGTAATTTTTATTCGATAGGTACTCAGTGGATACAATTTTTAGACCAAACATAAATGTTTAAACATTTAACAGGCGGTCTATTATAAGTTGTACTGAATGGCCAACAAAAAAAGTTGAGTTTAATGTAGAATTTTTTTTTATAGAATTTAAATATAACATTTTGACGAAAATCGTACATTTTATGGCCTTTTAAAACATGTATATCTAAACTCCGCTGAGAATCATTTTCCGTTAGCAATGATTAATCGTTGCGTAAGGATATTGCCTTATCACCTACAACAGTGGCCTACCCATCGTGCGAAGTATGACCGTATTTTTTTTGAGTATCAATCCGTAAAAATCTATTTTGCTTTTTAAAGTTCAAATTTTACCAGAGTTTCATATACTGAAATTATTTTACACCTTTGTGACCAGTGCGCAGTCCGGTGTCGCGGTTTTTATCTGTGTCATTGGTAACTTATTATAATTTCATATTTGTATAATAGTTGATATTGTTGAGTAAAAATTCCCGGCGGTATTGTCTTACCGATACCGGATTAGCCGCACGTACTATTTTATAGATTCTTATCAACGGAATTAATTAATTCATTTAGAAATCCGATCGTAACACGTCATTCCTAGTCTAACAATCAACACGTGGCCCGGTTGAAGTGAGCTTAGTGTGCAGTAATCGCGTCTATAATAACTATTATCCCGCACGAAATCACAAACCGAATCGAAGTACGTGCTCATTGTTATAACTTTTAATATTGTTTTATTGTACAGAATAGTTTTTTTTTGTCTACTATAGCTATTATCTATTCGACAATTTTGAATTCTGGTTTAGTTTAAAAAAAAATGTAATTAGATATCACATTTTCAAATAGAGCACTCGATTTTAAACTCAAAATCGATAAGTTCATTAAATAAATTTCTTGAAAATAACAAAATCAAATTTACTCAAAATATTAGTGTTATAGACAATCGCCGGTTTGTGATAAAAGAATCATCCTGAAATCTGTATACGTAGCCTGAACGACATAACATTTGAAAAGGTCACTTATTCTTTCAAATCGTTGGTCACGAACATTTTTTCGTTTAACCAAAAGAACCCCAGGAAAAAAAGTTTGAAATTTTAGTGTGAGCGCCGATATAAATATTGAAAATTTAATAATCGGACTTCAGGATGTTATCGGGCCTTCATTTGTCCATGTCTATGTTCAACATTCTAAATCTCTATATGCTAGGTATTAGTTTTGTTAAAAAAAATAGTATACCGTCATTTGTTGTTCATTTTTTTTTTTAAACGTTCTGGGATCAAAAACAAATCGTTCAAATGGTGTACTACCGGATGGAAAATCAACATTTTTCGAGGTATTGTGTGCAAATTTTGGATGTTTTTTACTAATCGAAAAAGTATGTTCGTTCCGCTCAGAAACTAAACAAATTATAAAACCTATACGATTAAAAGTATGTGCAACGAGGAAGCAGAATTTTAAAGCAATACATGTTTTGAACTAATAAATATTAGGTAATAGGTATAATAAATATTAATAATTATTACTCAGTAAAATCGTTCATAATACACCTAATCATCGCAATATAATATCAAATGTCAAATTGTCAATACCTATAATAATAATAAATAAATAAATAAGGTTTGCTTACCAATATCGACCACTTTATAAAATGGCGATACCATTTGTGTTTATTTCAGGGTGGTGGGTGATGAGGTTTTTACTATTTATATTTATTATGTTTACCTACAGTATATAGAAATCGTGCATAACGACATTGCACTATCTGCCTAAGTATAAAAAAAATGAGTTTTACTTCATAAACGATTTTGTGCTATATTTTAATATTTTTTAAATTTTTATGTTAGGCATTGAATTATAGTAGTTTATTGTTACAATAAATATAACTTCTATGTTGGAATCATTATTGTATAATTGTGTATTCTCATCTAATTTAGTATATTTTCGTAAGTATTATTATTGACTTTAGAATATATTCTAGTTATATTCTAGGTATTATGTTATATAATTAGTAAGTACTACGTTAAATTATTCAAATCATTTTACGCGTATTTTAGATAAAAAAAAAATAATTATAAGATATACATTGCGAGAAATATTATATAATTACATAGAATGAAACGGCCATAATATTACGTATTATCTTTAGGATTTTTGAAGCAGTTTATTTAATCAAACGAGGACATTTTTGTATACAGGAAGAGAATCTGCAGTTTTATTTTTTTCAACGCCGTCGTGACGTTATAATACGTTTGAATAATGCAAATATATGAAAATCGTCAATTCGTGGAAGTTAAAAAAAAATAAATAAATATCTTATCGACCATCGGCTTAGTATTGTTAATTATTTTTTAAATTCACTTTTTTCTCAGGTATACTATAGTATATAGATGGCGGAATTTATCGTAAACGTGCGATATTTTGCGAGGTTTATTTTAAAGAAATTATCCATTTATCGAAAGATAAAAGATACAGCGAATAATTTATTATTGTAAAACGAATATTTAATGAGTACACCGTATAATACCTGAAAATATATGAAAATTGGTATTTGCTTAAATTTTTAGTGCTGTAGGTACCTAATATTAGATTGTTACAGCGATCACGTGATCATATTGTGTTTATTATATTCTATTAATTTGAACTTGATTATTTAAGATAGAGAAACACACCTATAGGACACGTAACTAAAGAATGAAAATATTCGCATAAATATTGTCAATATTGGCTGGCCATCATTATCGTAAACAAGTCAATAAGCGCTCGTCATTCGTAAGTATAAAGGTACCTAAGTGTTACTTATTCATATATAATACACAATTTTAAAAAACCGGACCCTTTTAAGTACCTAGAAATTAGATAAAACGCGTCACAAATTAATCCGAATTCAAGAGGCTTACGTAACAATACCTATTTGATATAGGTAACTACCGTACATCGAATAAATCAAATATATTTGACAATTTTAACAGAAAGTGTCTTATATATAATGATCTTTAGAGATCATAGATTAATTATTTAATAAATAATATTCTACATTCGTCGTCGAATCAATGGATAAACCTTTTAAATTTGGTCGAGTTAATGGAAATACAGTGTCTTACGTTGATAATATGAACATTGCGATATCTTAGAAAGTATTAACATTTTTCGGAATTTTTGTTTGACAATTTGAGAAAAAAATAACTCTAAAATGCTAAGTTACCATTATAATTAAATAAATAGTCTATCGCAGATGGTTATATTTAATATTCCCAGAAAAATTTTCATTCAAATTAATATATCACACCAAAATCATTAATATAAGTAGTATTATTTTAGCCATTTTAAATTTACGTGTTTTTTTTTTTTTTTACTTTTATGATTTGATAATGAAACAAAAAAAAAATTAATCTCGTACTACTTTGATGGAAATGCCTATTATAAATGTGTTTATTTATTTTTAACTTTCTGAATAGAACATTTCGGATCATTTTCACTAGGCTACTCTATAAAATGTATAGGTAAGCAAGTAATAAGTATATGTTATCAAACTCAGAAGGTGCACTACAGGAGTAGTAATTTTTCGAAATTTTCATTGCGACGTCATTGTGAAAAACCAAGACGTTCTAGGATAAGGGAGACAGGTGCAGTCACTGTTATAGGTAATTTAATGTATATTTGTAAGCAAGGATAAACCACTACTAACGAAAAAACGATTCTAAACGCAGTTCAGTTAATGATGCTTTGTCAACAAAATATAAGTCATATTATAGTAAAATAATTAAATAGGCATATATTTTCTTTAATAATATTTGTTTAATATTGTAAGGATTTACTCATTTTTCCTGATTTTTCACATTTGCTTGAAAAACTCTTGGAAAAATCGAAAAATGACCTCCCTAAAGAACCTCTCCAGTCAGGTTTCCTTTCAGAAAAATTGCTATTATTTTTAATCAAAAGGAAATTGTTGATAGAAAAGTTTGCACAACAAATCGAGAGGTATTTTGCGATTAAAATAGTCCGAGCGAGTGATGCTTTGGTCTCTAGGTACACCCAATATGCATTTGTTTTTTCCTTGTTTAGATAAAAGGGAAAAAACATTTTTTTCCAAACACTGGTTTGAGGTCGGAACCTCTAGAATGATAACAGGCATTAATAACCATTAGATGACGACAAATATGTTTAAAGAAATACAATATAGAGTTATTTAACATAACATATAATGTCCGCATAATATCAGAACTTCAAAAAGCTATAATTTCGAAACTTAGTCAGTTCACTTAATTCTGACTTTTCCATCGTTTTAAATCGGCAATATACATGTGTTCAAAAAAAAAAAATTTGAAAATTAGATTTGTCCCACATAGTTTTTTACTCAAATGATTTTCGACAAAATTCGATATTAAAATTTCCTTATAAAAAAAAAAAATACTATATCAAACTCTATTTTTATGATATATAACTTATAATAAACCTCCTGTTAAATTTTTAAGCATTTCTGTTAAGTTTAATAATTTTACCACAGAGTATCTACCGAATTGTATTTTTATACATACAAAACTTGCAAAATTAAAATGTCTTAAAATTTTTGAAATTTTTACCACGTCTAGAAAAGACAAATATATGATTTATTTCCAAATTTCAAGTTTCTCTGAATGTTTTTAACTGAATTACAACAAATAATCTAATTGATAAAATAATAAAAGCATTAATTTCGTACATTTCCAGTTTTTCTTACGTTTTATCCTGGTTTTTCACAGAAATTATGAAAACCGCTTGGAAAATCAAAAAATGACCTCCTAAAAGTATCATATGGACAACATTCCCTTTCAGAAATAGTGCCGCGCGTATATCTGAGCAAGATTTCTGGTAGAATTTTCGTACACAGGAAAAAAAAACATCTTAGTAAAACTAATACATCTTTCGCTACACTCAGAATCTAAAATATACCGAAAATCGAATACGTATAAAGCGTTAAAAATGTATACTTGAATTGGAAATTTATTTTTAGAAATAAATGATTTTTATAGGTACCTTCTGCAGTATTTTAAACGTTTACTCACATATTCATTCAGACTTTTCAGAAAATAATTCGAACCAATAATATAACGGCAGTATGGACCAAGTAAGTGCTATTAACATTATTATACGAAACTAAAACTGAATGGTTAAATTAAAATCAAGTTTAATTTTTAGCTGCTGTATATTGTATTACTTACATTGTTATAATATTTATTGATGACAAATTTTGAGAGTGATTTTCGAATAATTATCGTGTACGATAACGTCATTGAAATTCAACAATTATTATTTTTGCACGCTGCTTGAATATTTTAATTTAAATGGTCGATAATTTGGATAGAGTGATACACGCCTAAGTTATTTATGTACTCTTTTATTTAAGCGTTCTCTTCTCTGTTTTATTTTAACTATTTAATTTTTGAATTTTACACCGACTGTCGACCTGGTACCACGTAAGATTATTCTGATCACGTCCCACAGGGAGTAATATTTTCTAATCAAATAATTTATGTAAGAGTTACCAATTTTATTTTGTTTTGTTTTTTTTTTTTTTAAATTTAGGAAAAAGAAAATATAGTAATAACTATTGTGTCTGTTATTTTAATATACATGTATATATTTTTTTTTTTTAGCTACTTTTAGGAATGTTAGAGGCTAGATCAAATGAGTTCAAACTCAAAAATTATAATTATTTTTTAAGCGGATTAAAGTGAAAAAGTTGAATTGAATTTTAACATGCGTTTAATCATATTGTTGTGAGAGAACATCCCTTGAGATTCCCCGAATTAAGCTATGGGGTGTATTTTCGTATATGCGTGGCGTTAATATCAAGGATGTGTTTTATGGGAGTTTCACTTCTACCTCAATCATTTTGATAATCAAATTCAGTTTTTTGGAAGTATAGTATACTTGTAATACAGTTATAGGGTTATATTTTATTATTATAGTGTTAATTTATTTATTTGTTCGCAAAGTTCTATAATACAAAATAAGCGATAGAGATTATCCAATTCAAGGGAATGAACTCTCCTGTTCATAAATGTGCAGGTAATTTCAGATATATTTTAAAAGAAAATAAGCGATATTGACAATACGCGGAAACTACTGGACATATTATTTTTAGGTACATTAAATCTGGTACGTCATTATGACATTTTAGTAGACCTATCTACAGGAATTATTTTTAAATACAATTATAGCATTATAAAGATCGACGGGTTTTAAAAACCATATTCATTGGGGCGTGTCTATCGTTGGGTAAAATTTTTTACGACTGTGTGAATTATATAAATTTTGAAAATCATCTCCGAAAGGTGCAGCGTTGTTAGAATAATATGATGCTATGAGTAGGTACGGTATGGTTAGGTATCTATTTATTATGTACCTAACCTTGTATTACGGTGATTTGAAGTACATAAAACTAATAATAATATTTAAACGTCTAGTCGGTGTTTTATAATTTTTTGGCAACGGTAATAATATAATGACGTTCGCAATTCAAAAACGATTAGAATGACTGAAAAAGACTGGTTTTCTCTAACATTACGGGCACCTAGTTACCACACAAATATAATTATTATAATCTTGTAGATCTACATAGAATATTATAGATCTATGTAGATAACCGACTGTATGATAGTATCCCATTAGAGGTATGAAGTCAGTAGCCATAAACCAAGAAAGAAATTTGATATATTGATGTTTTAAATAATTAGTATATTGATTAATCCAAAACATATTTGTTTAAAGTTATAATATAGGTATTTTGTGTTTATATGATAAATTTCAAAATTTTTTTTCATATTATTTCATAGTATATTTATAAAAATATTATCATAAATTATGGCATAAAAAAATTAATCCCATTTTATGGGTAAATCAATATTCGTTTTTTTGGTACACGCAGCTGCCAAACTTCAGGTTACTCATGTATAGAGTCGGCTATCTATATAGTTGTTTTATAAAATGTATAATATTTGCTGTAGTAACTTTAAAACAAATTTTTTAATACCTATTCCACAATAGTTATAAAATTATAATCACACGATGAAATATTAAATATTAAAACTCAGAATAGTAAATAATTTTTAACAAAACAATATTCGTTATAAGTAGTTATCATTCATTTAAACATTCATCATTGAAATCGAATTTTTGAAAATGTATTAACAATTTATAAAATAATATTATTTTCAAAAGACAAACATCGAATTATAATGAAGGCCACGATAAAGTGTTTGGTTTTTTCAAATGAAAAATTTTCTTTTGAATTTATCTCGAAAAATATATTCTATGTATTGTTCTTCACTCTAAACGGTGTCACGTAATTCGCAGTGCTGTAAATCGGCCACTGATCGGATCTATAGAATAATACTTTTGAATAAGTAGATTTGCTTCCATACTATAAGTACATATCTTGTACTTAAAATAGACTTTAATAACTACGGAAAAAGATTCGAAACGTATTTAGTCGATTTTTGTTTCCGTTGTCAAATAATTTAAAAATTTTTTTTCGTACGATTTGATATGTTTTGGGTTATAGTGCTTAGTTTTTATTTTATTTTTCTCATCTAAAACAACTCTAAAAATAAATAATGCACCATAATCAATAATGTATTATATGATATTATAATAATATTATTTTAATCTTTTAAGCATAAATGCTAAACATAATAAAAAAATAAAAACTATTAAAAATATTAACTGTTTCAAAGGTTGTATATTCAGGAATGACGATTATAAAATAAAAGGTACCTTCGAAATATTATTATTACTTAATACGTAAGTAGTTGGTTTATCAATTATTTAAAAATTATCATTATAATTAATAAAAAAAAAAAAACATGTATTCGCGGTTGGCTCTTTATGACACAAGGTGAAATTTTATGATAAAAAAAAAAAATATATCAAATGAAACTAATATTTAGGTACGTATATCAAGTTGCCTGCCACCACGAGTGCCTCGTTCTAATTCCCGCTGAGAGTGTTAAAAGAGTTAATGAAGACATATTAGACTAGTTGCGCCAGATAAGCCGGATCAACAATGTTAGTGAACACGTTTGTAGCAATGATACTAATAAAAATACTTGTATAATTATTGAGGAACGAAATTAAACAATTTGTTACCTTCCGGACATCGCACATGACTTATATAGGTATTTTAGATCAGAGCTTTGCACTCGAATTAACCAGAAACCGTAACGCTCCCAAAAACTCTTAAAAAAATCGAATACCCGAATGAATTTTTTTCAAAACACCCAAATTAAACAAAACCAAAATAAAAAATTCTGGTTAACACGAAACCAGATGTATAAACCAGAATCTTATAGAAGTTGTATTTTTATTACAAGTTCGTTTATTAAAAAACACGTAGGCCTCTGGATTTTCGAATCCGTCTGGGCCGATCTATCCCTAGTCCGCCTCGGTATGTATTATTAATTAAATATTATTTCATGTATAATTTGTTAACTAGGAAATATTTTGTAAAAAATTATGTTTGCATCCATTATCAGACTATATAGTTATATAGTATATATCTGGTAGTCCACTAACGAAAAATAAATATTATTCATTGCATAAAATAAAATGTATTATATTGAAAAGTAAAATATTAGATGGGCTGTGTAATTTAACATTAAATAGCTATTTTTAAAATAGTAGCAGATGGGTAATCATATTTTTATTTATAAATTCAAAATTGTATGCTGTACCTATATAGATTTGCATAATAGTTACAAGGACTCGAATAAAACATATACATATAACATTGCCTTGGTTTTTGTAGTATCTTAAACAAATCTATCTGCTTGAAATTAATAAACAGAGTTATTTTAAAAAACTGTTGCGCATTAACGTTGGGAATTAATATTTTATTATATAGGTACAGGTAATATAAATATTTCGTATTAAATTTTTTTTTTTTTGATGGGGTTTAAAAACTTTAGTTAACATTTAACTATAAAAATTTATGTTTTTTATAGTCTTCTGAATACTCGTATTAACTAATGTTAAACCGAATAATAACGGTTATTAACACCCAAACGTTTGTTCATATTTTATTCCGGTATTTGAACATCCGAATACATTAAACACTCAAAACCCGAAACTCGTATAAATGAATTGGGTGCAAAGCCCTGGGATCCAATTTTTGAAATGAGTAAAAGATTATGCGACATAATGCGTTATAATGATAAAATTACTGAATGTGACTAATTTATATCGAATATTAATAATGAGGGGTATTTTTGAAATTGTATCGATAACATTTTGTCATTTACCGAATGTGATAAAATATGTCCCATTAACCATAGTGGTTTATATGATAAAAATAAATTTGCATTTACATTATTCTAACCTAAAAATGTAATAGTTATGATAAAATACAGATGGTGATATCATATATTGTTTGGTGGCGGGAAGCATAAAACATACTACACATTGCTAGAGACTCATTGGAGAGCATTCGAGGGCTTTAATTGGCTGTATTGCGTTTGTGATAACATTATAAAATTATCAATATTTAATAATATTTTTAAAAATTATGTGTTTTTTTCGTTTAAACTTTATTATTCTGATTTATTTAATAAAATATGATTTATCCAGCATCATTTAAATATGGAATTGTCAAAGATGACAATGTTAATATTATTTTAAGATGTGATGCAAAATCTATGGAAGAAATCAATGTGCGGGTATTTGCATAAATATTTTATATTGTATTTACTAAATAATAAACTATTTATTTCATAGGAATCATGACTCATGACTAAAATATATTAAACATTTTTTAAATTTCAAATTCGTTTTTCAATACAGGTAATTTCAGAAGCCCAGCGTGTATCAGCAAACCAAAAAGACTTATCCAAAAATGCCAAATTTCTAAATTATGTTTTAATTAATTTTATAAATTTAGTTAAGATTTAAGAATTAAGATACCTATAAAATAAATTATTTATTTTTTTATTAGACACATTGATGTCTTCCACAGATTTTGCATTACATCTTAAAATAATATTAACATTGTCATCTTTGACAATTTCATATTTAAATGATGCTGGATAAATCATATTTTATTAAATAAATCAAAATAATAAAGTTAAAAAAAAAAAAAACATATAATTTGAAAACATTAAATATTGATAATTTTATAACGTTATCACTTATCACAAACGCAATAAAGCCATAGAGAGCTCTCGATTTCCAATGGGTCTCTAGCAATGTATGATTATATGCTGACAGGAATGGTGATTGGTGAGATAAACAATAGTTTATTGTTTCTAGTTTAATTATTTTTGTTTTAAATTCAAAGTTTATTAAATTAACCATTATGAGTGCTCAACCAAAATTCAAACAAAAAGCAAGCCAACTAAACAACAAATTAAGATATTGGTCGATCTTTGAATTTTTAGCAAACATTTGTTCGGTCAAAGTAAACGGGTCCGACAAAGGTTTGTAGAAAAAATTTCTAACGAAATTTTTATTTACACAAACCTCATTTTCCATAAAACTATTAAAAAAAAAAAATTCTTCATCAATCGAAATCTGACATTCTCAGTTATTATATACTATTAGGTATTTAATATAAAAATTACAGGACTTAAACAATACTTTAAGTGAGAACATTTTAAATATGTTTATTTATTGAGAAGGATTGATATCTATGAATATTGGAAATTTACTACGATTTACTATTTAGTCCAGTGATAAAACAATTGCATGCGATAAACGTTATATCATCATACATTACAATAGACAATTAGTCGAATAATTTTTGTGAGACCAAATTATATCATAATTTAAAAAAAGCATTTTTTTTTTCATGCGACTAACGTATTTATCGCATGCGATAAGCGGTCGAATAAACAGTCGAATGATTTCAAAAATCGGGTCCCTGTTTTAAATTAATTTTTTTTTGTGTATTAAGTTATATTAAAAAACTGTATATTTTATATTTTATTGTTTATCAGGTAAGAGATTTATTTGTCTTTGTATTTTGCTTATTCAATTGTATGAATCAAGAGTTTGTTTTCTTAAAGGAGATTAGATTTATTTTTTTTTTAAATTAAAGTAACAATTTTTTTCCACTATCTAAAAAATTATTTTAAATCTTTATTATGTGTTCTTTATAAGATCTACGTTCCAATATTGTTGAATTTTGATTTTCCCAAACATTCGATTTAAATGTCTAAAATGTTCTAAAAACTTTCGCCGTACAGTATTAATAATTAAAGAAATTGAAAAATTCGATCTTATCATAAGTAAGTATAATGACGAATTCGAATCAGTTTCAAATTTCTTATCGCTTTACTATGAGTCGATTTGCATTCATACGACGGACAAAAACTACAAAATGTTTGGGAACTATAGTATAAAAATATAAAATATAATACTGTAGAGTGTAGAGATAGCCTATACCCAACTCCTTAAAAACGGTCACTATCCATTATCCAATCCTTACATAATACGAACAATACGAGGTATCTATTAAATACGTCACTGATTCGTATGTCGTGGAAAACGCACCATGGCAGTCAACTAGACATTCAAATATTTAAAAAAAAAAGTCATAACAATAATATTATCAAAAGTGGTTTTTTTTGAGTAAATCCGATCGATCGATAATCGTAAAAACTACGGTATCGGTACGTAACCGAGCCGATGATATTGCGTATCGTCGCCAGTTTGATGGCCTGAAATATTATATAATATCGTGAAACAAGTAGGTAATATTTAATTTTAAAGACGTTATCACATACTAACCGGTGTGACAGGAATTTCGTTTTTAACCCCTAAAATATATTCACTGACATCTATATTCACCTATTCTAAGTAAAACGTACTAGGTTATTTTTACACCGCGGTGGGGTGTAAAAATAACCTAGAACATTTTTAGAGGGTGTAACTATATTTTGAATGAAAATTAGCCTGTTACACCGGTGTGCCAGTGATTATTGATCCCGTGATATTGGATTAGGAGTGGGGGGGGGGTGACAATACACAGTTGTAAAATTTTACCCGGGTGGAGGGGGAGTAAAATATCATCAGGGAAAAAGTTCGTGGTTACACCAGCACCGGAAAAGCGTTAGGTATTTATTTTGTGCAATGCGTGAAGAGACGTTTACGAAACGCGAGTGCTAAAAAACCTGTTCTAATGTGTTCTTTTCACCACTGTCGACGATCGTTCTTAACGTGTAAGGTTTCGAAAAAAAAAAAAAAAAATGATATGTCAGGTTTACCTCATCTACAAAATCACAAAATTCGTTGATGTTTTGATTTTGCCGAATTTTCCGAAAAATCGAACGGATTTGCCATACGGGTACATTATTATATTGGTAACTTTTTACCGCGATTTTAATATTTACTACTTAACAGCACTACCGTGCAAAATTGCATACAACGAGAAAATTATTAATATTTTTGGTTATCTGGAGAATAATCAAAACGCCGGATCTGTTTTTCGGGTGATCTTAAGTATAACAATATTCTTATCAAGTAGGACAATTCCGGTTATATTCTGTAATTTTACTGCAACATTTCAACCGGAAGAATAAATCCAACCAATGTGATATTGATTTGAACAGTTTTTCGATTTCGGTTGACAGTACGAATCAAAACGTTCAAAAGCCTATTGCGTTAATGATGTTATTCGGTTGATTAAAGGAAATAAATAATAATACTGATGGTTAATAAACTTATTTTGTTTCAGATCTAACATTAATATAATAGTAGTTCAAAAGACAACAACAAGAAAAAAAATATACAACAATTACGAGCAAATTATTATTGTTAGTGGTAATAATAACTAATAATATGTAAATATATATTATAATATATAATATTAATAAGTGTTAATAAAATAATATTCACGCAAATATTTTCTTTTCTTTTTTTAAGTGATAATAAATAATTTGTATAACTAATTAAGTATAAAGACAGACAAAACAAACATCACACCAACGATTTATTACGTTGTGCAACCGTGGCTTGGTCATCACACTGATAAGTTGTACAAAATTTAATTCATTTGAATGTAATTGGTATTATTTTTATTGATATTACCTGTCATGTAGCTGACTATGACACCAACAAAGACCGTAACAAACGTGCCCAATAACGAATAGTACATGTACGTGACGGAGTACAATTTTGTCAGTAAATTCCTGTAAAAAAAACACAAGATGGTCATAAACATTATAATTTTTACTCTCACAACGCAGGAGTGCACGGAGGTTTTTAATAAGGGTGCGGGATTATTTAAAAAAATAAATAAAAATAAATAGTCGAATATTTTTAAAATATTTTATATTAGTCGATTAATCTGTTAACGACTGATAGTCGTGATTAACCGATTAACCTAACCGATTGATTTGTGATCGATCTTTTGAAATCGATTAATTTGTAATCAATTTTTAAATCAACCTTTAATTATTATCACAAACGAAATTCTAAAAAGCGCAAAATAAAAATTGTTTAATATAAGTGGTGAGATCACTTAGTGGTCAAAAAATATAGTATTTTTTTTTATAAGAATTTTTATATTAAATTTTGACGAAAATTGTAAATACTATCTATTTTCAAAAACATGTATAATGGTTGTACATAGAATTTTAAAAACAATTATTGTACGGACGAATATAATATTGTTTTATGTATTTTCGGGGTGCTGGGTTGATTATACGGCCTCATAGATTCTTTGTAAAACTACCAGTGGACTCGTTTATTATAATATTAAACCGTGGTACATATATTTTTAGGTACATACTCCGTGGAATTTAGTGATTTGATGGGAAATAGATCATCGAGCGTCTGGTTGGCGAGGCTCATTTTGTACATCGAGTACTGCACGTCGAACTCCGGGTCTATGTGTGGCGAAAAAGTGGTATTCGTACAGCCCTCAGTGGACACGGGCAGATAAACGATCTCCTGTGTGACCGATAGCGATCCCAAAATGATCATCAGCGTCATCAGATGGCTGGTTATCATGCCGGCGGCCGCACCCTGTAAATTTGATAGAAAACGCGTTGTACATAATATAATAATATTAATTATTATAATTATTATAAATGTATAATAATTGTGAGCTACGCGTAAAGCGAGATTTGTATTAAGAGATGACGAGTTTTTTTTTTGAATCACATTATG